AATTACTTGGTAATTTTTTAAATTAAAAATCTCCGCGAATATGATTGCCACATACTGCAAAAAGTGAAATTAAAATAATATAAAATGTGTACAAACCAAAGAGAACGATCTTACAGAAAATCGAGTTGCCACCTACTACTAAAAAAATTTACTTAAGAAAAGAAGGTTAAATGGGTGTCAACTCTCTGCGAATATAGTTGCCACAAACTAAGGGAAAAATCACAAAATAAAAAGTTTATGCCTTTTGAAAATTAATTTGGAGAGAGCTTAATTTAGGCGTTTTGTAATATATTATAAGAAATTGAACTCCAATGAATATTTGATAATAGGAAATTTAAGCATGTCTCCGGAGAAATTTTTCCAAAAAACTACATGCATATTGGACATAGTTTAGAATACAGATAATATAAAAGTGTAAAAATGCATATATAAAAACTAGAAATTCCGATTTAATGCTAAATATATTGAAATAAAACTGGAAATAGTCATTCTCCAAGCAATAGTTGCAAAATTATAGTACATACACATTTGTATTCTTATATATTTCTATATAGCCATAAAGATTTTAGTATAAAATTAACATAGAAAAGCAACATGAAAACAAACACTATTAAAGAATCTCATATTAATAATTGAAACTCACCATAAACTCAACCACAAAATTACGAACTTCTTAAGCTGAAAAAAAAGCAAAAAACTAAAAAATCAAAGAATATTTTAGTAACTATAAAAATATAAATGGCAAGGCAATTGCTTGCAACATACCAGCAGATCGTAAAACGGTACATTTCGCGCACCTCTGGTGGTGTCATATGAGTGCGGCAGGTAGTAACCGCAGGGATCATTCGCCATTAGGCCATTTGGTCATTTGGCCAATGTGTAAAATTAACAACAAACAACAGCAAAAATACAGATAAAAACATACTTACATGAATTTTTCGTAAGCAAATAAAATTTTTAGAAAAAAACAAAAAAAACAAAAAAACAACAGCAATAACAAAAAGAATCAATAATAAAAAATATGTAAAGTGTTATTGAACGAATTCTGACCCACTTTCTTGATGTAAGCCAAACGGTATAACACTGGAGGGAACGAATGGGTGGATAATGGAAAAATTATACGAATGCTTAAGTGGTTAGTGGTAAGTAGTCAATGGTGGCGGTGGCGGTGGCGTTGGTTGTTGGACCGCTGATGGCGGCATTATTGGGTTGCTGCAGCAAGTTCTTTGCCATATGTGTGTATATGAGTGTTTGCTTTGGGCGTTGAATGCGTGCAAACAATTGCAATCAGGCAACAAATAAAATAACTATGATAACAACAACAATAAAAGTTAGTAGTACCAGGCGTGCATTTATTAAATTCACCAAAAAGTATAAGCAAACAAGTTTCTATTGCAATATATACATACTTACATACATCCACTATTTACTACATGCTTTTATTTAATTTTTTTTTTGGTTTGCCTTTAAACACACAACTACCGTGAAGCGTACGAATTTGTTGCAAACACTATGATAGCATGTAACGGCGTGTAAATAAACACAACTAAATGGCGAAAAATTGATCACTTTTAGATAAGAAATGCGGCGATCGCAATAATCAATTTAGCGCGACAACAACAGCAACAAAACAGCATGCGCATGCGCTATTTACATACAATTACCGCACATACATGCCTTAAAATATATATGCGGTTGAGGCATATTTAGCAGCAAACACTAGTTTTAAACCACTTACTTCATAACTACTCTTAAACTAATGGAAAATGGGAGCTACAGAACTACAGTGGGGGGTAAATAAATGGAAGCGAGGTATGCGATGTATTCAACGTAGACTCGTGTTATCGAAGATTTGTGGGCTACAATCAGTACCATAGACCAGAGAATTACTGATTTCTCATGTTCCAATCGATGAATCTCTTATTTCCATTGGAGAATTATACTAGAATGCTGCTTTAGCTATTTTGTAAAAAAATGGATAGACGGGAATTTCGATTTGAATTATTTGGTATGTGAAAGCTCTGGCGAAATGGGTGTTATACGATGTCACAATCTGAGCAATTTTTGCAGCTGTTCAATTGTAATAAACTCGAAATGTTATAAAATGGATGAAAGATGGCTCCATCACGTTGCTACCGAGCAGAATCATCATCCATCCACGTATACTGCATTTTCGAATACAAAGCGGAGTTTACATTAAATATCATAAAAACCATGAAGAGCAACTATTCTATAACTTTATTGGAACGTTTGTAGGACAAAGTCGTGGAAACCATTAAAAATATACAAAAATGCAATTTCATCAAGACAATAAACCGCATCGCAAAACAAAAAAAATTATGGTAAAATTGTATAAATTGCACTCAGAAAAGCTTCAAGCTTCGGCACCCACCGTACTATCAGAATCTGGTTTCCTATTCTTTCTCATATTGAACAATCACGTATTTAATACTGAATTACTACAAAAACTAAAACTTCAGGGGGTGTTTGGAAAAAAATAAAAGTTAGTAGTACCAGGCGTTGCCCCAAAGCGATATTAGAATACTCTTCACAATTAAAAAAATTTTCCTTACTGGAACTTGATTCTGACTTAGCATATAGTTGTCCGATCTGAACAATTTCTAAGGAGTTTGTACCATTGCCTTAGACAATAACCCATGCTATCTCAGACACACAGACAGTCATGACTAAATCGGCTTAGCTCTTCATGGTGATCATTTATGTATACATCTTCGACGTTTCCTTCTGGTTATTACAAATATCGTGGCAAATTTAATATACCCTGTTCAGGGAAGAAAAATAAACTTGGGAAATAACGGACACCTTAATATACATTTATGCATATATAAGCACAAGTATGAGTATGCATATGCGCTCGGTTAAAGATTTTATCTTAATGGTGATATTTTACCAAATGCCAGTAAAGTCAAATGGTACAACTTTGGTGTATGTCGCTGATAGTGGTGAGGACTTACAGTGGTTTATTATGCAAACAATTTTTTAAAATTTGAAAAAAATATATACTTTACTATTTGCTCACTAGAAAATGTTAAACATAATTATAAATAAATTACCATTTTTTTAATTATTAATAAATTATATTTTCAAAGTGTCAAAGTATAGCATAGCCAAAAATGTTGTACTTAAATTCATGATATTTTTTAAAGCCTGGGCGTATGAGTAACCAATATGTTTATAAATTATAGATGATAAGGAGGTATTCTTTATAGTTAAAGCGCATAATAAAGCAGCAACGAGTTAATATTATTGAAAAAAACCTTCCATCGAAACTCAGTATAAATTATAAACAGAATGTTTGGAAAGCCCTTTAAGTTCTTCTTTTTTTGTATTAAATTATAATAATATATATAATTGTCGTAATTTCATGCTCAAATGCTAACGAAACCTACAAAATGAGTTTCGTGTTTTTTCACAAACCAAAAATGAAATTTATATAAAGAAAATATGAAATTTTCTTTTAAAGCATTCAACTTTTCAAAAGTATCCAATTACAGCTTTCTTTTGCTTTTAGTAAGATCCTAAGATCTATTGTGTTCAAAGGAAGTAGTAAACACAAGCCTGAGATTAACAAAAGTTTGACTGACGACTTGAGATGTTTGTGCTTACTTAAAGTTCGACACCATTCCACACACAGAACAATAAGCTATATACTATTGTTAAAAAAAGAAACGGTCTGCTTGGCATTTTCAGCGAAACCTTGCAACTTCTATAAAAAAAAAAATATTTTAAAGCAATAAAGTAATAAAAACAATGCTAGTTAGAGCATTGAAAAAGCGATCGTACCACTTTAAAGCGGTATTTCCATACTCATTTCCTTCTTTCCATTATATCGTTCAATTTTATTGTATAAATAGAATAGTCCCACTGTGTCTCTTGTTGGGAAACCAACCGGCCCGTTGCTGATATAGATTTCCTTTTGTTGTTAATTTTCTTATTGAACGTTTGCTGTCAATAATGTTGTTGCCACTTATGTACCATTACGAATTTTTAGAGAGTGAGAGATAAAAACAGTGAGGGACGCTGCAAGAGTTTTGATCGACTGCAGATTAGTTGTACCCAAGCTAAGCACTGTAAATAGCTGCACTCCAGCATATGGCGACGCTGATCGATGTCAATAGTGTTATGCTCACGTTTTGGCTATTATTTATTAATATACGGACATATATGTAAGCTTGTATGTGTTTATGTATGTAAATAATATATATGAAGGCTTGCATAGATTAGGAAATACTTTTACATATAGTAGAATCAAATACTTTTACATATAGTAGAATCAAATATATACATATAGTACATACACATAAAAGTATATGGCAAATAGGAAAGCAGTTGCGAATACAAAAAATATAGGAATAAATAAGTATGTATTTTCATTTATGTATTTAAATATATTAGCTCATAAACAAAGGTACAAACGTCCTGTAGCATTTTCCGTTTTATCTTGTGTGCGTACATACATACGTACATATTTATGGTGCACATACTCTCTTGTGTATCAAGTAAAACCGCCTGCAGAGTTGTGAAAATTCAATTAATTGAATTTTGCAATTTAGGCTGCCAGATGCTGTTAATTCTCATATATATGTTTGTATGTATATACAATTATATGCATACATATGCGTATGTATGTGTGTGTGACTTAGATGCATCAAAAGTGAAACTGACCAAATCAACATTGCCTTTATCTGCACTGGTTTCTATTTATATACCTATATGTAAGTATGTATGTATGTACATAGATATACATATATACCAGCTTTCAAGCCAAGCAGAGTAGGGCAATGGGTTACTGCATCTACGGCAACGACCGATTTTGCGCTTAACGCGAGAGCTTAGTGTCTTAAACTGCATTTGGGTGTGGGCAGAAATTTCATTTAAAATTTATATGTTTAAATATGTATGGTATATACGTATGTGTAAATCTCACTTTTTACTAAAATATAATTTAATTGCATATATGTATTACTTTATCTTTGCAGATTTGAGCACGCCGTGGCACTAATGTGCGCTACACCGGCCGAAATAAGGTGAGTTTTGAAGCTTTAATGAAATCGGCGTGAATTTAATTTATTTAGAAAACAAAATTGCAATTTGAAGATAATTCTGTAATAAAGCGAAGCAGGCACTTAGGCGTTGAACCTATTTGTATAATGCAGGAGACGAAAAAATTATTATTATTTACCTTTGATACTTTCGTATCATTAGAGACTTTGAAGAGAAAAGTTAAAGCCTCAGGATTTCGAAAAAATTCTAATTTGATGTCATTATTGAATAAATACTTATCCGTATATTGAGGCATACCTAACCTAAGAAATTGTAAATCATTTGAGATCGTATTTTGTAATATAAATATTTTTATACTCTTGCAAAATGTTGCTACGGAGTATGATAGTTTTGTTCACTTAACGGTTGTTTCTAACACCTAAAACTAATCGAGATAGTTATGGATATATAAATGATCAGGTTGACAAGGCGAATTGAAATCCGGGTGACTGTCTGTCCGTCCGTCCCTACAAGCGATAACTTGAGTAAAAAGTGAGATATTATTTGGGCGGAATCGCATCTTTGCCACGCCTACAAAAGGCCATTAATTGAAAACTTATGAAGTGCCATAACTAAGTTAAAAATTGAGATGTAAAACTGTAATTTGGTTTACTGTACAACAAAAAGTGTAACAAAATTCTCAATTCCATCGGATTCTTTCACTATATATATATACAAATCAAGCAGCAATAAATATATTTGAATACAATTTTGCACAAATAGTGCTTTTAATGTAGGTCACCTCATCGGTGAGATATTTTATTGAATTTCAAAGAGAATATTTTTACGATAACAGTATGTTCTTGTAGAGTCAATACTACCGTAGCAAAAAAGAGACTTAACGTCATAATTAGTGGAAATCTGGTTATCCAAGCAAATTGATAATTAATTAACCAGACAAACCCATTTAATATTTTCACTTTTCGGCAGCGGCAAATGTCAAATGCTGCGTACACGTTATTCACACATACTTATACAAACGTGACACTGACACCTCATAAACCAGCTGCTGTGTTGTGCACCATGGCTAGTTGTGTTCCTGGCGCTGATAATTTATCGGCGCTGCGACGTTATAGACAGACAAAAAAAGCGAATAAAATGTAAACACTAATTAAAAATGTTGAAATGTGAAACAGAGAGGGGAAAATGCATTTTAAAATAAGTAAAAAAAAAACACGCAACTGCAAAGCAAAACCAAATCATTAATTTTCTGGCAAAGAAAACTAAAAAGAAATAACAACAACGACACCGTGGTGCATGGTTGGTCATAGGCAAAGGAAGAAATTGCATCAACAAGATGGGGGAATGACAAACTGGATGAGGCAAAAACCAAAATAACAGACAGACAGCAAAAGCGCTTAGTTGCATAGTTTTGAGTCAATAATTCACTGTCGAGAACGGTGCATGCAACAGGAACGGCAGCAAATTTAAAAAAAATAGAAAAATGGTAACATCGGCTACACCGTAGCTATAAAATCCTTCACAAATACAAAATCATCCTTACCAGATCTTTGATCGGTTTGTATGGCAGCTATATGCTATAGTTACTCGATCTGAACAGTTTCTTCGGAGATTGAATTATTACTTTAGATAATAATCCATGCTAAAATTCGTAAAGATATCTCGTCAAATGAAAAAGCCTTCCATAAAAGCACTTGATTCCGCTAGTTCAGTTTATTTAGGAAGCTATATGCCTTAGTGGTCCGATATCAGTTCCGACAAATGAGCAGCGCTTTGGTGGGAAAAAAATGGGTGAAAAATTTAAAAGCGATATCTCAAAAACTGTGGGACTAGTTCACATATTTACAGACGGACGAACAGACAGATAGATCGGGTTTCTAAATCTCTCTTTTGGGTGTTACAAACAGCGGGTATATAAACCCCTGTTCAAGGTATACAAATAAAAATAAATTAAATGGGTTTCCAAACATTATGGTCGGGGTATAAAAAAACCAACAATATAAGTGGAAGTTAGGCAAAAATAAATAGTCGTTTTAGCAATAATGTCGACCACAAAAATAATCATTTATTTCTTCCAAAACAAAATCAACAAAAGTGAACTTCATATACTGATTTCTTTGATATATACGAGGTTTGTTTAAAAAGTTTTTTGGCATCAGAAAGATAGCAGAGGATCTCAACATCTCTTATGGATCGATTCAACACAATTTGCTTAATGTTTTGGATATGAAGTGTGTCAATGTTAGACTCGTACCAAACGCCCTAAATCTTTTGCGAGAACGACGTCGAGTACAGGTCGCAAAAGAGAGGACCCTACATTCAAAAAACGCATCAATACTGGTAACGAGACGTCGGTTTATTAACAGACTGCAGAATGGCGCATTCAAAACTGAGCCGAATCCGAAAATACCAAAATTCCGTGAAGCCACTAAAGTCCATCCCAGCCGAAGCTTATATCTAGTGAAGTGATTTTGAAAGTGATAAAGATTTGCATTAAAATGGTTTATTTTTGTCAGTCCGGGTTAAATCTGTTTAGATTGTATTTACAAGGACTTACAGGTTTTGAAGTACTCAAACATTGCTCGAACTTATGCATAACGATTTATCTATCCTCTATGTTTTTTCTCGGTACGTGTTACCGTTAGATGGCAATAGCGGCATAGAATGCTGTTATTAATTTTATTAATTATTTTGGCTTATTTTGTATTTATATCTGCAGGTTGGATTAAACTTTTAAAAACGGTTAAAAAATTAATATTTGCTTTAGAATTTTAAATTTGAACTTCTTGCAAATATTATTATAAATAACATTATGTAATCTACAAATAAAATATAAGAATTGACATCGTTCATGTTAACATCACGTTTCAGTCTTGTTAACCATTTTTCGGTCAATCTAATATGACAGTTGCTACAAGGGGTCAAAGTCAGACCTTCGAAAAAAATAAAAACATTTTATTTCCAAAATTCCTGGCTTCATTTTTGAAATATTTATAACTTCGAAAAACGGAGAAGTCAGTTTCTTACTTATGACTATAATTCTGAAAAAAATGGGGTTAGTCCAACATCCAGGCGAGTGCTGTACAATGTAATTAGTTCAATTCAGCTGTATTGAGAGATAATCAGCGGCCAGCACAATCTCTTCACTGTTTGTTTGGCCTTGCTCCTTACTTTCTTTCTGCACTGAAACCATATCAGCGTCCAAGCATCAACAATTTTTACTACATATAGCCTGTCGTGTCTGTTAAATGTATGACTACCATTTGGCAGTGCTTTATCGACTTCTGTCTGTTGCAAGTGTTTTCAATGATGGTTATACAGATATTTTAAGAATACCAGGCAATGTTCAGCTAAGAAGAACAGTCTTATTTATTGTTGATTCGGCCTCCTTGAACGTATGTGCCCCTTCTTTAAACAATTAAATCCAAGTGGTTCACATTTTGTTGAAAATGAACTTCTACATCACACTGTGCATCTTCAAAAAGATCTCCGTTCGAAATTTAGCATCCTCACTACTTTTTATTATTGCACTAAGTTTACACTGTTGGTGCGATGTTCTATTTTCATTCGGTTGCATTTGTAATTGTTTTTCGTATTTTTTTTTTAATTGTTGCTATTTTGCTTTCCGCTGCAAGCCATTGTATGCAGTCGGAAAAGTGAAAAGTTGCAATTAAACCAGTCAATGGTTTTGTCCAACTCGTCACTTTTTCCACATGAACAACAACAGCAACAAGCATTTGTTTGTTAATGCCGCTGTTGCCGCAGTTGATGTTGTTGTCCTTGTTGTTTTTGTTTTGGTTGGTACTGCCACACTCCACGCAGCAATAATGTTTACTTAGCTGCCTTTTTCTATCAACTTTGCTGAGTGTTGCTTGGCGATTGCCTTGTCTGCTGCACCGCAACAATCACTGCACTTGCCACATGCAACAACAACAGCAACAATAAATGGAAATGTAGTGTTAAGATTTGTAATGTTCAAATGCGTTGCAGCTAATTGCCAGTTGGCAGGTTTCGCTCGTCTGATCAATGCCAAACCCTGCCAGTCGTGCCCACCCGGCTGATTTGACTACCCGCCATAGCCCGAACGTCTGTCCGTCTGTCCGTCTGCCCGTCCATCTGTGTGTATGCCCGCTTGGCATTGTCTTGCTTGTCCTCCTTTCAGCGCCGCCTCAATGGGAGGGAAAAATCTCTATGACAGACGACTCAGAGCTTGCAACGCTGCGCGCTTTCTTTCTTTCCTTCTTTCTTTATTTCGTTTTGCTTTTTTTCTTTCTTTCTTTCCACAATTTGTCCATTCATTAATCAGTGTGTTTGTTTTAATTTGTTTGCTTGGTTTTTTGAATTACGTTTTTATCACACACATATGTATGTACACACATACATATATTTAGGTATATAAATAATGATTTTATTAGATACACCATCTAAATGTATAACGTACATGTAACAACCATCTCACCAACTAGCTTGCCGACCTCCTATTAAATTGACAACTTCGTTCATTGTCCATTAACTGGAAAAGCATTTGACTGCTTCACCGCTTAGACTAACTGACCGCCTTCTGCCCTCCCATTCTCTCATTGTCCGTTGTCTATTGCCCAAGTGACTTACCACCAATATGTACGAGTACAGCTGACCAGGTGGACTGACTGGACGCTCGATCGCGAACTTGATTGTCCAGTGTCTGCCGTTGAGTAAGCTGTCTGGTCTCGCTGCGGCTACAAGCGTTTCACTTGACTTGACATGTTTTGATTGCCATCATGTCTTATCGGCATATGAAATACATTAATTAAATATTCAAAGCACTTTCTATTAGAGACCCATGACCCTGCTGGTATTATTGATACTGAATGCCTCAAAAGGGTTGAGAGTAAAAAGTCCGAAAGTAAATTATGGCATCCGACAAAAGTCAGAGATTTCCCCTCCCAGATTTCGTACGAATTTTACAACCTTTCAGACTCTTTTAAATAATCGCTTTTCTGGAAGTCCCCCAATTATAATTTCTCACGACAGCCGGATCTAGAATATCAAAATACACAAACTTTTTCGGGCCCAGGTCTCTTTTCAGCGGCCTAAATCTCTTTGGAACGCTAACTATTAGTTGTAAGTGATGTTTATTTCATTTAATCATCAAACCCGTTCGAGCTTGTATCACTGTGATTCGGTTCTAAATTCAGACTTCGCTACACTAAACTTCATGGACTTTTATCGCCATTTTAGAGTCTATAATCTCAGTTAGTCACTTTTAACGAACGTTGTTACCACGTTAAAACATCAGCAATATTCTGTGCAACATTTGGTTAATGATAGAAACTTGCATAATTATACTCTTGCAACATGTTGTTACAGAGTATAATGGTTTTGTTCACCTAACGGTTTTTGTATTACCTAAAAATAATCGAGATAGTTATAATGTTATGTATATACAAATGAACACAATGACGTGACGAGTTGAATTCCGAGTGACTGTCTGTCTGCCCATCTGTCCATCTGTACGTCCGTCCGTCCGTCTGTGCAAGCTATAACTTGAGTAAAAATTTAGATATCTTGCTGAAACTTGGTCGGCATGTTGCTTGGCCGCTCTCTAATAAGTTTATTGTACATATTTTCTCAACCAGCACAAATATTTTTGGCATCGCACCATGTGAAAATGTGTGAATTATAACTCCGGCCACTCCCCATATAACGGTTTCGCTAAAAACTACTAAAAGTATGATATATCCATAAGTAAATACGTCAGAGACACACATTGGAGATGGTTTCAAATTTGGATGATAGGCGATTGATTTGGTAGGTAATATTACCATGAAATCAGCCAAAAACCACGCCTACTTCCCATACAACTTCCATTTGTTTCTTACACCTTCCAGTACACAAATGAAGAACCAATCAATGTATCTGGATAAAACTTTGTACGAGTAGTGCCTTTGAGGTGCGCCACCTTATGAGCAATAGTTGTCTAAGTTGAATATGTGGACGTCAGTTCCTATTGCGAACTTTTTACCGAAAATATCGGTAAACTGTCAGATATATTATTGAAATTCGAAAAGAATTTCCCCCGACTTTGATTCTTTCAAGTTGCGAGAGTACAAAATGTTCGGTTCCTTTCGAACTTAGCCTTTCCGTATTTGTTTGAGATTAGGTATTATATCTTCCCTAAGAAGATATATATGTATACAATACGAGTATACTTAATTAATTAATAATAACTTAAATCAAAATAGTTCCTGAAGTTAGAGAGTAGAAATAATGTATAGCTTGCAGATCTAAAACTTATGCTTCATCCATTTCTGCAAGATTTGAGTTTGTTAGTCACTTTTTTTTTACATTGTGAATCGAACAAAAACCCGGTATAAATTAAGCAGTTAGGCCAGTTTTATAGTGTGTTTACATATTCTTTTCATTTTTTTGGATTCAAGTGGATAACTATGTTTTTGCTTCTAGTGGTAATATATTTCAAAGTAATCGTTAATTTGGGTTAAATACACATCTAACATGACTGCTATTGAAATTATCGATCTTCGGGTAACTAAAACTAAGTAACTGAGAGAATAGGTTCTCAAGAATTGATAGAAACTTCAAAATGGGTATACCCCTCAATTTGTGTAGCCTTTTATTTGTCAATAGGAAAAGAAAAAAGAATACCTCAACGACTTCCGATCGTTTATCGAATCGAAGTCATTAATAAGTCATAAAGCTCTGTTATGTTTTGCTTATTCATTGCATTTAATCACTATCACCCTCCATAACTTTCTTTTACAGAATTTTCATATTTGTGCAACATGTGGAATAGTAATAATTGTTATAGTCGAAGATGGCTAGTCACTGACACGAGACAAGTGGGTATAGGAAGCAGCAGAGATCGGTATCAACTATCCAATAGACCACTGAAATCTACACAATCGCTGCAAACATCAGCGGCGTCGACTTTACAACAACCGCGACATACTAAACGCAAATGCCGACGATTATGCGACGCACGCGCGAAACATTTCGAGCAGCCCGAGATATGGCAACCGCAAATGTCAACCACGGCGTATGCGGTAGATGTAAAAGCACTGCCGTTTAGACAGCTGTCGTGGCTGCCACGAATTGTGACACATACAACCGGATCGCCACGGTTGCACCTAAAGTCCTCAATAGCGCCCGCACGGCGCACACGAGTCAACGCTTGCCTAAACCAAATAATAGAAGTATTACTAGCCTTACTATTAGCCAATTGTCTAATGCAGCTATGCGGAAAACTGCCTACAGCGACAGCCGCATTCGGCGCGCCAACGGCGAGTGATGCACTTGCCGAAGCGTATAACTTCTACACGAGTAGCAGACTAAGCCAACGCAGCGACGACGACGATGATGAGTATGCGGACGCTTATAGCAACAACTATCGCCAACCGCACAGCATCGGCGGCAATGCGGCGTTTGCTTTCAACGCATTGCAACTGCCATCAGCTGCCACGCTGGCTGCTGCTGGCACTTACAATGTACCAGATGGTGGTGCCGGGTTGTCGGTGAATCAGTTGCAACGCAGTCAAAATTTCAAAATCAGTCAGAAGCCCTGCTCGATTGGACGCATCGAGGGCACTTGCATGTTTGTGTGGGAGTGCATCAAGTCGGAGGGTCGACATGTGGGCATGTGTGTGGACTCGTTCATGTTCGGTTCGTGTTGTGCGCACAATTATACGGAGAATATTGTAATGCCGCAGACGTTCTCCTACACGCGTCCCACAAAACCGCTGGGCATTGGCGGCGTGAATCATCGACCTCGACCGCCGCATCAGCCGCACAAGCCGAGCATAAGGTGAGTTTAGGCGGTGACGTACGCAATATAATATATGCTTAGTTTTGTTTGCTACTCATTGCAGTGGAATGACTACTATTGAGCGACCGCATGGCGCTGGAACGCTGGTCATACGTCCATCTGGGCCGCATCATCAGGGCGCTTTGTATAAGCCACAGTACATGAAACCCTCAACTGTGGGCACAACCACATCTTTCTCCGCCTCTCACTCAGCAGCGACGACGACGACAACCACTTCAACAGAGGGCTCCAATGCGTTATGGACCTCGAATGCGGTATTGCAAGATTTACAGCCGGCAGCGGCCACCTCGTCAAGTGAGTACTTTCTATTAAAGAATGTATACATTAAGGATATCCTTTGTAGGAAATTTCTTCTTTGTGCCGTCTTAAATATGTGAATTTTTTCTAAGTTAGAACTCCATAATATTGGGACGACGGAACCTTTTAAGCCAATTAGAAATTATGCGAAACGTACATAAAACGATCTGCTCCAGCAGTCAGTGGCAACCGCATTAGAGAACATATTAGAAAATTGTGAGTTCACAATAGATCAATAGACGGTTTCCTATTCTTCAACCTTAACCGTGATGCATAAATTGATTGCAATGCTTTAAAAAAAAACAATCGAAAGTTGCCACTTATTTAAATAAATAAATCATACTAATTTTTCAATTAAAGAAATACTACAATATGATGCTAAAATGAAGAACTTGACACTACAGAAAAAATTTTTATAAGAGTTGTTTAAATTTATATGGTAAAAGAAAATATAAGCGAAAGAAACACTAAAGTATGGTTACCAAACTAAAGCGGCAAATAACCTACAGTAAGGGTTGCCAGCTGTTTAAATTTCATTGGTAAACAATTTTTTTAAGACAAAGAAATACTGAAGAGTGGGTATCAAACTTAAGCGGTTAAGTAAATCTTACATTTGAAATTTTTTTTTATAAGGGTTGCCATTTATTGAAGATTCTTAGTTCATTTAATTTTCTACGATATGAATTAGTGCAATATGTATCATATAAAAGGAGGAAATTGAGTGATATTTCGTATTGGAGGACTTCTTTAATGTTCCCAATTATCCTAAAATCAGCGGAATGCCACAATTTTTTTTTTAAATAAGGATACCCCTGCGCTAAAATATAGTATAATATTTACCCGAAAACTGATTTTGAAGCCTGCTTACATACCTACGTGTGTCCCTCATATAAACTCTTGACTTTCTGCAGATCATTGGAATACATCACCACAGCTGACAGCCGTAACGCAACACCACTGGCACATGACGACTGAGCCAAATTTTATTACCAAACCGCGACCGCCCAGCTGGGAGAAACCGACTGCTATGCGTCCCCCGAAGCCATCAAAGCCAACAAAGAAACCCATTTCGCCGCAGCCGCAACTGCCCAGCTTCCAAGTGACGCAGCACAACACAGCGGGTATTGTGTACACGACGCGAAGACCAGTGCCGCCGACTTTTACGCAGCCAGCGACAGTCAAACCGTCCGCATCGCCTTCATCAGCGGCAGCCAATGCACCAACAACGCCAATATCGGCGCTATCGTTGACGCGTCCACAGCCACCATACACCTCCTTCTCTTCCTCTGTTGCTTTCGCCACTTCTGAGACTTCGTCATCGTCAAGCACTAACTTGTGGCAACAACAACAACAGGTATGTGTTTATGCACTTATGTAAATCCCTACACATTGTTCTCGGGGTTTTAAACGGGCTACCTCTGGCTGGACCACATGCCGAGGTCATTTACTTAAACACTCACTCACTGACAAACTGACAAATTTCTACCTCAATGTTTGCATACTTATGCGGCATGGGCGGATTATCGCGCACACAACAACAACAACAACAACGGCAACAACAAATCAACTTTGTTGCGCATGCGCGTATAAAAATGTTTATCTAGCCTTGGGCGACATTTTATTGTTTGAAAATAGCTGATGAAAGATTGCCCGTCATTTGGGTGTGGTACGGCTAAGCTTTGCTATGCTATGCGTCCACTTGTGCTGTGCTGCTCGGCCGATTGATCCGCAAAAGTGTATCAGTAACTGAAATTGCGACGTCTATTTTGTGTGTGGCATGCAGCACGCGGCATTTGGTGATCACACAATGTCTCGTCTTTGTCTATACGTAAATGGTTTAAGACAGCATAAGGGACTAATTGCATGTGACAGTAGCGCCAGTAACTTGCATTGAAGTTAAGTATGTTCCAAGCTTATGGAAATATATTAAAAAGGACGTAGTTTGGCTATAGAGATCTTTACTATAAAAAAAAATTTACTTAATCTACTTGGTCCTTAAATGAAGACGGGTTTGCCAAGACGACCTCGACTGATCTCTAAGGTATTTGCATTTTGAAGTTATTTATCCGCTTCTCCCTAATCTGCGTGATCGCAATCGATCATTTTCGGCTCGGTGAATATTTATACATCAGTCGTTTATTTTTTTATGAACCGAACAGCTATTTGAAACATGAACCCAGACTTTATAAGACAGCATAGTCCTCCCTTTTAGATAATCTCTAACATGCTCCGCGCAGCTTCAATTATAACCGCTTCTTCTAGTGAAAGTTAAATTGAAACCGGTTTTCAAAACTGGCCTTATTTAAATTTGTTTAACAGATTTATAGACTTATATATTTCTCGTTTCCACGTATTATCTGATTCGACTTTCTGAATGTTTCCGTCACTCTAAATAGCTACTGGACTAAGTCTACACTTAGTCTTTCAAAGGCAGACTACTATCCTCCGATAACCACCAAAAACTAGCAGGAATCTGAAAAGCTTATCGAATTATTGTAGCATATTTCGAGGGTACGCTAGCTGGAATTTTACTTTAGGTAACCGGCCTCTGTTCTAATGCATTCTACCGTTTCTCAAGAGCTCAATTTTAGGTATATAGCCGATTTGTAAAGGAAAGTGATTGCTCTAAGACGAAGTCCGCTTTTAGCGAAGTATTTTTCGATCTGGAGGGTAAATAAAACTTCCAGTGTGGTCGATACTTTTTGAAAATGGGTGTTTCGGAAAGGTCGTACTTTGTACGGTAATTGTACAACCGATAAAATTGTATTTTTGTTTTTGAATAAAAATTTTCCTAAAACTGCAAGCCTTTATAACTGACCACTGTGTGTGTGGCTTAAGTAAAGCGCCTAAGGACCTACTTACTACTACCTTGTTTTTCCGTTTTTGTAAGCTCATGTCTGCTGATGCTTGCAATCATTCACGGGCTAGCCACATGTCGCCACTACACGGTATTATCCAACGAATGAGTGCGTTCGCCTGTGCGCATATTGTTTTTGTTGTGCATTGAAATGAAAAATTGATTTCGGCCATATGAAAAATCTTCACCGACATGAACACCGTATAGACATAAATAACATTGAATAATTTCAAACTCATAATTTAAATTTGCAGCACCAACACCAATACCAACACCACCAGCAACAATATCGGCCGCCGCCTGTTTATGCGAAGCCACCAATGAAAGTGCCAGCCACATCACTGGCCAGTGCGACAACAACTACAACGGGTACAACAACGACAAGCACGCGATTACCAAGCAGTACTACAGTAAAAACGACAACGCGTCCTTACACGCGCCCAACCACGCCCAATTGGGTCATTAGCGAAAGTGGTGTGCCCAGCAGCGTCGGTGACGGCACAATTTATCCATTGCACTCGTCGTCGTCTACAGGAAAACCAACAACAGCAATAACGACCACAACAACAACGCAAAAATATAAACCCACTTCGACATCATCCACTTCGTCAGCAACATCATCATCATCATCATCGGCGCATACAACCGGCGTAATGTCACCCATTAGACCCACTCAACGTCCCACTTGGTCAAACACGACACCAACGCGGCGCCCACCAGCATCAACCACCTCATCATCAGCAACTTCAGTGTCATCATCATTATCATCCACTACATTATCACATTCCTCTTCCACTTCCTCATCATCGTCGCTATCACCACCCACTTCACCATCCGCATCTGTCACTGCACCGCTTAATATGCCCACTTATGGACATTATCCGCATCCGAAGCCGCCGTCACAGCAGCAGACATTGTCGCCCAACAATCTTACGACGATCGAATCGAATGAGATCTCCGATAGTTTGACGAATAATAGCACCGCTATTAAAATCATCACGGCCGCACGTAGCGGTAAGTTTTACAAATTCACTGGAACCCAAAATACTTCTACATACATATATTTTATTTATGGCTTGAGTTTCGGTTCATTTATCACTCGTTGCGATATTTGCATCGTTGATCTGCGTGTGGTGTTGCTGTCGTTGATTGACCGCCAGACTATTTAAGCCATCATTTAACTGCATTCAATCATTCTCGGGTTGCCTTGCAATCCCATAAAGATTTTATGTGTTTTCTCGCTTAATCTTTTTACTCAATGTGGTTTCTGTTTTCGTTTCTTCCCAACATTTTCCATATATTTTTGGCGGATTTGTAGAATGCGGTATTCCGGTTTTGGCGCGTCCGGAGACACGCATTGTGGGAGGCAAGAGTGCGGCGTTCGGTCGTTGGCCTTGGCAAGTGTCGGTGCGTCGTACAACATTTTTCGGCTTCTCGAGTACGCATCGCTGTGGTGGCGCGCTAATCAATGAGAATTGGATTGCAACTGCGGGGCATTGCGTCGATGAGTAAGTAATTAAATAACCGTTAAGCAATGTAGTCTAAGAGAATATAGGGAATTTATATAGCATAAGCTGTTACCAAGAAAACGGTGGCATATAATAAATCAGTACTTGGTTGATATGAGCTTAGAACATCTGTGATCTTGAGTCATATCATCATATCATGTCAAAAGGTAAGATTCAAATAAATCTGCTAGTAAACACGGATGTGCTAGGCGTCCACCTGATAATATTTCTTTATAAAGCACGTGAATGGGAGTCGGGAAGTCAAATTTTCTTGTAGCTAACTCTTTTCTGTGAATAGTAAAGATAAGACTTAATAGTTTTCTTTGGAATTACTCAGATCAAAAATATTTCATTACTAAGCTAAGTTGCTTATAAAAAAGAATTGAGAGTTGCTGGCATGGACTCTTCAAGGTTCGAGCTGTATATATAAGTATCTTGTAACCCCATCTACGATTAGAAATAAATACTAATTGGGCAAGTAAATCGACGTATTTTAAATGGAAGACAGAAACAATAAATATACAAGAAAATATAAATAAGTTAGTTCCGCATATATAAGTCCTAAAATTATAAACTTAACCTCCACTCATAATGCCGAAGGCAATCGAGTTTCCACGAAAGATACGGGCTTCATAACCGACAAAGAACTGGTACTTGAAAAGTCATAGCACCATTATATTGTTATGCAGTTTTCTTATAAATTTTTTGTTTTTAGAAATTTCAATTAAGAGTTATTAAATTTTGTCTCATTTTCATCATTCCATTACAGTCTACTCATCTCTCAGATGCGCATACGCGTCGGCGAATACGACTTCTCACACGTGCAAGAGCAACTACCATACATCGAACGTGGTGTGGCCAAAAAAGTCGTACATCCCAAATATAATTTCTTCACCTACGAATATGACTTGGCTTTGGTGAAACTGGAACAACCAGTGGAATTTGCGCCGCACGTTAGTCCCATCTGTCTGCCACAAACGGATAGTCTATTGATTGGCATGAATGCGACAGTGACCGGTTGGGGGCGTCTGAGTGAGGGCGGCACACTGGCGTCCGTGTTACAAGAGGTAATTAAATGGTGGAATTTTAGCAAGGTGAATATATATTTTCATAATTTTTTCTATTGTTAATTAAGGTATCGGTGCCGATTGTGAGTAACGGCATTTGCGAGTCCATGTTTGCGCGTGCTGGTCGCCAGGAGTCGATACCGGATATATTCGTGTGTGCGGGTTATGAGAATGGCGGGCATGACTCGTGTCAGGGTGACTCTGGCGGACCGTTGCAGGTGGGTGTGACGACTTTTTGGTTGCGTGATAATGTTTTTAATATTTTTTTTCTTAAAATTTTTTTTTTTTTACTTTTTTTCTTATGAAAAGGTTAAATCCGCTGACGGCCGTTTCTTCTTGGCTGGCATTATCTCATGGGGCATTGGCTGTGCGGAGGCGAATTTGCCCGGCGTTTGCACGCGCATCTCGCGTTTCGTTCCATGGATCATGGAAAATGTATCGTGATAGACCTATCCAGTGACAAGGCCGGCTTGCAATCACTTCATAAATGGACTGTAAATATTTAGGAATTTTAGTTTTATTCGCATTATTCTAGGCATTACTGTGTTCCGTGCTTTCCTAAACACTTTTTTACTATTCATAAGCATGTTTTCATATTTATAATTTATCTGCCGTAGTTTAAAATATAAAAATAAAATAAATATTTACACTGTTGAAACACTAACTAATTTATATAAATTATGTGATTTATATTTATGCAAGTAATTAGTCGCAATTAAATGATGAAATAATTTTAAGTAAATTTAAATCAAATGCAATGAATTTAATAAAATAGTTATAAAATATATTTTTTTAGATTCAGTAAAACACGTTAAACGCTGTATAACTTTATTTCTAATAGCGCAAATTTATTATGAAGTGAATTATATAATAACTTAATATTAATTTATTTTTAAATGCTATAATTATTTACTAAATTTTAATTTTATTATTTATTCACATTTAGCAATATTTCAATTTTAGTATTTTTATTTACATATTTCACAATTTTTATTGCAAATTATTAAGTATGTATGTAAGTAGCATGACAATATTGAAAATTATTAATTTATTTAATTTTGTACATAGTAAAAGTCATTTCATCACACTGTTGTTATAAGCTTAGCATATTCGAAAGTCGAACTTTACATGTGTATGTATGTGTTAGTGAAGAATCAATTAAAACTATAATAACATGTTTCTAATATTTGCTGCGCATAAATCATAATATGCAGGCAATAATTTAACAACTAAATAAATAAACTAATTAATTAATGAATAATCTTGCCCAAAGAAGCAAATAAAATTTAAAGAAAAAATATTAAAATATTAAAATTTTTATTTTTCAATTTGTATTTGGTGTTTTTAAGATGGTGAGCGAAGATCTATAGTAAAAAGGTCTCAGTTCTTATCTTTATTCGGAATTAAGGAGATGAATAACTTCAACATATACAGAAACAAAAATGTTTGCTTCCAAAATGCAACACGAAACAACGTTACCTTCGGTTGCGCCGAAGCTGTATGCTTTGGTGATCCAATCTGAACAACTTCTTCGGATATTTTTTTTTTTTTGCCTTAGATACATGCCAAATTTCGTGAAGATATATCGTCGAATAAAAAAGCTTTCCATATAAGCACTTAATTCCGATCGTTCAGTTTGTATGGCAACTCTATGCTATAGTAAAACGATATGGGCGATTCCCAAAAATGAGCAGCTGCTTGGTATATATATATTTTTTTGAAATCCTCTAAATCTCAATTAAAAATAATTGTAAAATTTCTAATCCCAAATACCGATTCAAAAAATTAAAAATAAAGGTTTAATCTGATTTTGGAATCCGACTTTGGAGATTAAAAATTAATCTTTGAACAGTAAAATAAAAACGTTAATTCAATGTTAATCCTTAAATATTAAAAAATAAAGAAAATAAATAAATTTTTAGAATTTGCGAACTTCGTTCTCTACCATTTTGGTTATTGTATAGCTGAACGATTGCATGCTTGTATGAAAAACTCTTTTATATGTAAATGTGTATGTACATATCTTCCTTTAGTCCCTTATTATTCCAGCTTTTGATTTGTAAAATAACTTTTTTATTTGTTATTGTAATTTTTTTTTAATACAAATCATTTTTGAAATTTTAAATTTAATTTAAAAGAATGGAAAATTTAATTTTTAATAGCAAAATTAAAATCAGAAATTGAAAATCTAACTTTCAATCCATAATTTTTTTGAGTTATGAAATTCACGACCGTGTTTAATATGAAATATTCATTAAATGTTATTGATTAATCAAAATTACCCAACTTAAAAATCGATATATTAAAAAAAACTTTTTTTAATAAAATAATACTTTTGCATAAAAAGTTTGCTAAACTCGTCTCTGCATTTTTCTGGTTCATACTTATTTTCTTTTAGTTGATTTAGATTTTTTTGCATCAGCTGATGAGTGTCAAACTGTGTATAGCTGGTACATGGTTTCCTGAGCTTTTATTGTATTACACATTGTTGTATGAAAACCATGTCTGTCTTTAGCATTAGATGTAAATACAACTTATTCATTAAAATATATTTTCATTCAGTGTGAATACACACCCTGTTTAATTTAAAGCATACAAAATTACCGATAGTCACATCAAAATGATGGTTGGTAATTTCAATTATTATAGGTATTTAACATATTATTGGAAATATAAAAAACGTATCCACAATAAAAAAAAACTCAACCATCTTCTCCACGCTTGTTGGCCACTTTTTTCTACTGTTTCATGCTTATGAATGACGGAATGGAGTGTAATGAATAAACGAAAATAAGGTGTGCAAAAATTAAAAAAAAATCAAAAATCAAACAATTCATTTTTTTGTACATACAAATATATAAATAAGCTATAGGATGGTGCTGCATTGGCCTATTAACAATCCCATAGAAATTTAAATTTCACTTTTTCAAAAGCGCTGCGCAACACAATTGAATACATTTTTGTTATGACATTTGCTGGCCTCTTACCTGCTTTTTAGATTTTTTGGATATAGTCTTCAATTGTTGTATTGTTTTGCGGCTCTTTTATTATTTTTCTGCTGACTACTTTTATAAACATTTCTTCATTAAATTAAACTTGCATTCTGAAAGATATTGCTAAGCAGGGGCATTGAGTGCAAGACGTTACTCAGGCGGGACATTAACATGGATACCTTGAGGCGGACATATGTACATATGTATAGTATATCCGCGGCAATTTCTATGAACCGGGCACGTTCTTAATTGAAATCCTGCGTGTGAAATAAGAAGGCTGCTCCTAAAAATGTATCATCTATTGTGAGGAAGCTCTTAGGGTGCTCTTCATTTATTGGTTAGCCGCCAATATCGACATCACAAATAAGAGTAGAAGTCCGACTAATCAAAGTGGTTATCGCCAAAAAAAAACCTTTTTTTAAAAACCTTGCAACAAGTGTGACACAAAAACCTGCATACATATATGTATGACATTAAAATTACAACGTTTTTGGAATGCCTTGAATTAAATGAATGCTTAATTCAGCATCAGAGTATTGAATTTAAACTGTTTATACAAAAGAAGACAGGAAAACACAAAACTGGCAGCAGAATAAATAACATCTGTTAAACGATTAAATTCACAATAAAAACAATATTCACAAAAAGCGATCAAACCGGATCTCAACAAATCAGACTTGATTTCCTAATCGAGTTGAATTGCAAAAAACTGACTTCCGTTAAGAACAAAAGAAAATTCGAAATTGCTTTGGTATTTGATTCTATCTCTATATCAAATTGAACATGTAGGCTGTATTTCTTACCGGTTAGTTTATAAAAAAAGCTTTGCACTGTTTAGCTGTAACATTTTATACATTACATGCATTAAGACTTGTTTTATATACATATGTATGTACCCATTTTGATTTGTGTTTTCCAAATGAAAGGCTTTGAATAACTCACTCGTCTTTCGCTTCGCATTTATTTTGTTTGTTAATGGCATAATTGGTTTGCTATTTAATCTTTTGAAGTATTACATTATTTGAAATTTACTATTATTTTATTTTATTTAGACAAAAAGGAGCTAATTATTGTGGCGTTACAATTATTTTGCAAAGTTGCCTAAACTTCAATTGTTTAGAGTTAAATTTTCGTGAATATTAACATTGAACGAAAGCTGCTTTTGCACTCTTTTATAGCATAATACAAAATATTGTATTATACGCTATTTTCCACTACTCATAGTTCACTATAAATTTTGACCCGATTACATCCATAAGTTTCGCTTTCGTTATTGGACTTACTTTGTTACTATATCCACTACTAGTTGTGTTTATTGCTTCTTGCCAAATATCGCCTCTTTCGCTTCGTCGTACAGATCTAAGGCTAGATATTTCAAGTCTTCCATGCTTGTGGGGAATTTACTAACCGGTTCGGGCGTAACTTCATCGCCTGGTTTAACACCCTTTACGAAATTGTAAGCAATATAATAACCTTTGCGCGCCTGTACCAGGGCATCGCGTGCAAATATTTCCGCTTGTTTAGGATAGCAAAGGGAAGCCACTGTGCCAGCACCTATGGTTGTGTACAGCACTTTCTTAATGAAACCACCACGCGCAGCAAAAATGAAGCCAGATAAACCACCGACAGCGATAGCACCACTACGTGGCAAAATATTCTGCGGCTCATTTAAATAATCGATAGTGGATTGGGTATGCGCTTTGGCCGTTTCATAATAGTGGTCGAAATGTGCCTTCTGTTCAGCAAGCACATTAAGACCGGCTTGTACTTCCGTGCGTACAACGCTTATTCCACTTTCAATAGTTTGACGTGTCGGCGAGTCTTTTGGTGGATGCGATTCCGTCTTAGTACTAACAAATGAAAAATGTATTTACATTTGTAAACATATTTTGAAAAACAAAACCAACCTGTGTAATTCATGCAAGGATTGATAAAGTGGCAAATCACTTGGCTTGCACGTGAAATTAGTATGTGCCTGCACCTTTTCAGCTGCTTTCACTTCCGATTGCTTGACAGGCACAGCAGCCAAAAGCACAGCTGTAGCTGGTGTAGCAAATATAACTTTTCGGAACATCTTTAACTGCTTGGATGACTATGGAGTTTACACCTAGAATTTGCCGTTAAATGCTTCTAATTAACGTAGTACGCGAACGTGGTGGTTTCTGCTTCACCTTCTTCTCCTTTTACAGCAACCTACAAAAGAACTTTTAAACATTAAGATAAATATTAAAACAAGCAAATGCTTCAAAATTGTTTCACCTAGTTGCCTGGCATTGCATAAGACTCGTTGTCGATTACAAACACTGACACTTGATTTGACAGTTTACAAACAGCTGTTCGAATTCGCTTTGAGCTTATATTGTGGTGTCGACGGGTGGTCCAGAAGCAAATAACAGATTAAGTTTAAGTATTATATATATATATATATATATTTGTATATTCATTTAAATGAATTTATTATAGTACCGAATAAATAATATAATGTTAATTAGCTTTTCGTATTAAGTACAAGTATCCAGTACGATATTATTATAACTACATAGAAATCAAATAACGAACGACTACTATATACTATACTTATAAAAATGTGGGGTCAATAAACAAGAAGTATTTAGCATAGAAATGTTAACCAACGAGGATGTTAAGAGCTGCCCTACTAGCTCTCTTTTTTTGACATTTGTTTCGCCGCAGCCGCAATTGACGTAATTTTTTGCAGAAATGTGGGTTCAAAACAAAATACATTTGCTTAGATTTTTTTATACTCACTGCGAAAAGGTGATAGAAGGAAGTGCGCGTTTGTGTCTATTGGCAGGTGATGGAAAAAGAGTAATTATTATAAAAATAAACAATTTTATAGTATAATACTTATCAAATGAACAACATTTGATGACACGCAAAATTATAACTAATATAACATATTACAAAAACTCATTTCATTGAAATTTTGGAAAAAGGCGATGTGATAAATATCTAAAAAATTTGTAAAAAATATGTATAGAAACAAAATATAATATTTTCGATTTTCTAATGATGTGATTAAAAAGTGCATGGTGTGAGTTTAAAGTAAAACCTTTAGCTATGTACCATTCAACAATTCATAGAAGAAACGAAGTCAAAGCATTAAACGCCCCCAGAAACCGAAAATAGAGGCGCTGACAACTTTAGCTTCAATGCCGTAAAAAGTAGAAGAAAGCTAAGAACCGAAGTAAGAGGGATCCAATTAAATTTCTTTAATCTCCTTATCAAGCATTCATGCGCTAAAACTGCAAAAATTGGAAATGGACTTACACCTGCTCCACTTGTTTTGCTGCTCAAAGTTGAAATGTCAGGCCATAATTATATAGACCCAAATGCAAGGAGTTCAGTTCGAATATAAGTTATAGTTTTAAAACTAAACAATTACAAAAAGTTCTATAACCGTAAACATACCCACATCAATAGCCGTTTAGTACCAACTGTGTATCTTTAAGAACACTAGAATAACCTGCGGACGCATAAAATTGCAACTTAAATACTTTGCACATATGCATGAATGCAGATGTATGTATGTAGCTAAATTGCTGGCTAATTGGTTCGTACTGTTGGCTTAAATGGGGAATGTCGATAAACTTACGGTGAACAGCTGTGGTAGCATCAATTGCCGCCGGTCTTTTTAAATAAATATATTTGTAACAAATGAAACAATTGTTCTAATGTAGAGCAGATCGTATCAGATATGTTTAATACTTTATATCAACAAGTTTATAAATATAATTTCACACGCTTTCCACAGATGTTGTGACTAACCGTTTCACGCGCCGAACTATTAGCATATTTTTTTGCAATTATGCCAGCAACTCGTAATAAAAACGTTACAGGAAATGGATATAGTATAAAAAGTTAATGCTCATTGAAAACTAATGTAGATATAAAGTGTGAAGAAGTTGTATAAAAAATTAATAAAGATACAGCGCGCTAGTTTTAAGCCTGAAGCCGGAGTTACTACATTTTATAACCTACTGATAAAAATATCTGCGCAAATTTGTGGAGATTTAACGTGTATGCAGCGCTAATTGCATATATCTGACCTTATGGATTTAGCAACCAGTAGTACTTCAAAATTCAGGTTAGTAAATAAATATTTTCATTCCTTGTCAAAAGTAGGCATTTTATTTGTAAGCACATACAGTTAATTATGTTATAATGCATCGTAATATGTAGAAAGTTTATAAATATATACATATTTCTGTTGACATATTTTTTTATGTATATGGCATACGTATGTATGTATGTGCATTCATTCATTATGTGTAAAAAATTACTTTTAAGTTGGAAAGTACCTCCAACCACGCGCCAATTAAGCATTTTGTGTTCACACATATACACATACAGATGAATGTAGATATAAATAAGTTTGCAGTACATAGTTTCTAAAGTGTTTTATGCTGCCACACCTTGATAAATAATAGGGTCGCTTGCTTATATATGTATGTATATTTAATATGTGCCTGTAACTCTCTATGTACGAATTATGTATGTATGTATGTACTAATCATGTATAGTACGTCATGTATAGTACAAAGTTCTGTTGAAGCACATTAACCAAGCCGCAGCTGTCCATCAACAAGTCAACAGCTCGCTTTTTTTAATTTTTGATTTACTGGCTCATGTGCTTTCCCTTAGCAAACTGCAGCGCTAAACATTTTAGCTGCATTAAGGTGTTGAAACGAGAAAATCATTAATTTATGCACGTATGTACATACATATGTATGTCCGTACATTTCGAAATGCGCTGAGTGGTTGCACAGCTAAAGTTTTTACACAAGATTTTGAATTTTTTTTATATTTTGTTTCACCCGGTAAACATAAATAGAATTACTACAAACAACTGTTATTGTCTCTTAATCTCGGATGTACAAATGTAAATATTATATGTTAATTATAAAAATAAATGAATTAGCACTAAAAATGCGCTGGAAATGTGTTCAACATTTATGTTAATTGCAGCAAGTCGTGTATAAATTTTGTATTTTAACAATTAAATAAAATGCCTTTTGAAAGTACAATCGGGTATAAAAACAAATAACAAATACTACTTCTTAGTGCTTTTCAAAATAGCTTAAAGTGAAAAGTCAACAGCAGAAAATGCAATCAACGAAAAACCAAAAACTCGCACGCATACATCAAGTCAATGCAACTGACAGTTCTTTCATTAAAAAAAAACAACAAGTGGTATGAAATAATATTTGTAGAATAGAAAATATTTCGCAGCTCAGCGCATTCTTTATATGTATATTTAAAAAAGGAAATTTCTATATTAAAACAGGAAAGAGCATATATGCCGTTATCTTTATCGTGGATATATAATTAAATTTTTAATTTTATCTTGCGCCAAGTCGTCAGTTAGGTTATAATAAAGTTCATGAAAGTACAAATAATTTTTACCAACTTTGACGAGTGCGTTATGCTAATTACTCTAGTGCTATATCCTCTCAGCGTGTTTAAGTGTAAGCAAAGTTTGATAACAAATTTTATTCTTGACCCGGTTTGATAATTGCCTTGATTAATTATACATGTAGTGTTGAGTGTACATACATATGTACATATTTACTGATGAATTTATACTCAATACTACCGATTGAATGTTGTTAAGAGTTACTGAAATAGTTAAATATATAGACCTAAAACTCAGTATAAAAGCCAACTTGCGATAAATATGATAAGAACGATTTAAAATAGCAATAATTGATTTGAAGGCTTATCAGTACATTGCTTTTTTTCTACACTTTGAAATTTCTCAAGCAAATTGAGTGTAAATAACCGCAATAAAGTACATGAAACGCTTTTAAAATATTTCAATATAATTTTAAAAACGCTTAACCTCTTTATTACTAAAACTTTAGTGACTATTACAAATCTCAACACTATATTTTAAATAATTTTTTGTTTTTATAATTTCAAAAATAAAATTTCGTCAAAAATGTTAAAATTTTAATATTTTTTGAATTTTAAATCCGTTGAATAGCTGAATTAAATTATCTTTATTACGTTTCGCAGCAATTTGCATTTAGTTATTACTTATCTAACTGGCCAACTGGTGTTATCTCATAAATTACTATCACCGTGCTTATCATTTTCACTAAAATATTTGCTTTTCTACGTAATATTTAACTAAAGTTTATTTGTTTACTTGCCGCAGCGATGTTGACGAATATGGCTTTAAACGCTCGGATAATTTCGATTATCGCAATTATGAGCAATTTATGTCCGGTTACCTGAAGACGCTCACCAAGCGTCGCATGAAATGGGAAGCTATCCTTCAACGCAATGCTGATCTCACCACAATTGATAGCAAATTGAAACGCTACATACGTAAGGGCATACCAGGTATTATCATAGTTAATTGAATTTTATTTATTTTTTTATTTAAACACATTATCTACTCCGGCAGGTCCATTTCGTGCTGATGTTTGGATGAAAATTTCCGGCGCTGCTAAACTACAACAACGCTCACCCGCATTATATAACAATTTGTTGGGTGCACATTACGAGAAGGAAATCTGCGATTCCATAACAATTGATCTACCTCGTACATTTCCCGACAATATACACTTCGATACGAAAAAAGAACGTCTCTTCAATATATTGGTTGCATATGCGCATCACAACCGCGAAGTGGGCTACTGTCAGGGATTGAACTATATCGCAGGTATGGCAAATGAGAGGAAATTTGTAAAAAAAAAAACAGGAAACAACGTTTATTGCGGTTGCACCGAACCTTAATAATACCCTTCTCAAAAAGAATTTTTTCCAATACAAGAACTTGATTTTGTTTGTTCAGTTTGTATGACAGCTACATACATATATGCCATAGTAGTCCGACCTCGGCCGTTCCGATAAATAAGCAGATTCATCTCATGAATTTTTTTCGATGTTACAACAACAACAATAATAAGCAGCATTTGCTCAAATTCTAACAAGCTCATAATTTTATACACGTATGCTGTCAAAATTTTGCTGAATATTTATAATATATTGTTATTTTTCTAATATTCTTTTTATTACTCTTCTTTTAGGACTACTGCTAATTGTCACTGACGATGAAGAGAAATCATTTTGGCTACTAAAGCATATTGTGGAGAGTATTGTGCCACAATATCATACAAAGAATATGGCTAATCTACTACGTGATTTGGCAGTATTCAAAGAGATGATTATAAGAAGAGCGCCACAAGTCAATCGGCATATAGAAAATTTGGGTAAACAATTACTATAATATATAATATATATAGTTTTTTTGCTTTACACTTAATACAGTTGCAAAAATAACGGCAATTTAAGTAAAAATTGTAATACTTTTTCACCCAAAAATATATTAATTTCACAAATATCTTCCAAAATAGGCTTACCGTATACTGTGATAGCGAGCAAATGGTTCATTTGCATTTTCGCTGAAGTGCTTCCTGTGGAAACTGTGCTGCGCATTTGGGACTGTGTCTTCGCGGAGGGCTATAAGGTGCCTTAAATGCATATTTCGTAACGTAATATAAAAAAATTTATCACATTTCTTTATATCTCTTTTCGCCGCAGATTGTCTTTCGCGTCGCATTAGCATTATTCCTCACACATAAAACAGCAATACTCGGCTGTGATGACATCGCAGCATTGGCGAACTTATTTCGTGAAAAGATGATGCAGGGTGACATCGTCACCGACTGCCATAGTTTTATAGAAGCCATGTTTAAGTTACGTTTGAAACGTAGCGAACTGGAGGCATTACGTAAAGTGTGTGTAGGACGTAATAATACCTAAAGCACTAACAAAAATACATGCGTAGAAAGCAAACTGCATTTTTATGTAGTATATTTAGCGCTGAATTTGTATAGCTAGAGACTGTGTTGTATTTGCGGCTCAAATTACTTAAAACACACGTGCCGAATGGACTCGTGGGTGCCGTTGCAAATACGGTGCTTGCAATTTTGAAATATACCTTACTGCCTACGCCACGTACAGTTCATTCTGCACACACTAAACAAATAACACAACTACCTAAATGTGTACACACATACACATACACAACTACATACATATGAGCGTAGAGCATATTGCGAACAAATAATAAGCGAACTTAAACACATACGACAGACTTAAATGTTTAGCAATATTAAGTGTTACTAAAAGTTAGAAAACATGCAAATCAGTAGGAAAATCGTCTAGAGGCCACAAATGTGTGGAATTGCTTTCAATATGAAAACAAATAATACGAAAACTAATTATAATAAAACGAATTATGTAGCTGTAAAACGATATTAAGACATAACATTCAACCAAACTACCAAATTAATACTAGCTTATATAAAAATAAGTTAATTTAAGTTACAAATATATATACACATTTTTAGTATTTAATGTACTATTATTATACTAAAGTGTAAATTATGCTATTTATTATATTTATATGTATCTAATACATATGCTTGTGTTAAGTTTATATGTGTGCGTGTGATGTTAATTAGTGTTAGTGTGCTTGTGTCGGGCCTTTAGCTGCCACAATTGCTGTTTTCATATATTTTATAGAGTTAATGTTAGTTATTTAGTTTCTTGCTCACATGTTGCATAATTTTTCATGCTTGTATTAGTTTTAAATAGCTTAAAAGTTACTCTACAATGGCTTTCATTCATGCTACATTTTTATGCATCACTATAGTTGTGTTTTATAGCTAAATAAAAGCGAAATTCGTTTGTAAAATGTATTTAAAGTTTGTGGAGCGTGGGTTTATCACAATAACTGTTTTTGTTTACGGCCACAAGGCTAACAGGAAATTTCAATTTAATGCAGTTTTGGAAAAAAAAGTATTTTAAAAATGTCTAGTAGTAACTCAAATTATTATTTTTAACTGCGCAATCATCTATTATCAAAGCATTGCCAAGTTTGGAGGTTAGGTTGGACTCAGCGGCGTCGAAATTTTTAATCGGAATACACGTTACAAATATTATAATTGGAATATAAGTACAAAATAGCTGCTTAGATTAAACATAATGGCGCTTAGTTAATTTATTTTGAAAAAAACGAGATCTGATTTAATTTTTTAAGCTTCTTAGCATTATGGTGATTCTTAAAAAATCCAATTTAATTTTTCTGTAATATTTCACTTTTTGAAAAAAAAGGTAGGCATGACTTTGTTTACAATTACTAAAACAGTTTTACGTTGTTTTGTTTGCTATTATTTTTGAGCACAAAACATCCGCAACTTTGGATTTTTTTTATAAATAATTTGTTACCAATATTATTTGTTGAAACCAGGGTTGCAAGCAATGCGTTACGAAAAAAAAAATTGAATTGACATTTATATTAAATTTTTTTATTACGTAATCCCAAAAATATTATTTAAAAATTATTTTTAAATTTTCAATCCCAAACACCAGATTAAAAACGAATTTATTACCAAATAACGGAATAAAATAAAAAAAAAATTTAATTCGAAAAATCAGAAAATTAAATAAAAATTAATAATAAATCTCAAATACTGTACTAAAAAGTAAAATTTCAATGTCAAGCTTTTAATTAATAACTAAAAAATATTTTTTTTTAGCATTTACATTTTTTCGTTTGTGGACATACCATTCTAATTAGTGTTTGAAAAAGGAAAGCTAATTTTTAATAAAATATCAAATAATATTTGTAAGCTTAAAATTTGAAATCTAAATCCGAAATTGAAAATTTAATCATTCTGGTAATTAATTGGTTCTAAAATTTGAAATTTAAATTCTTAAACCAAGATATTTTAATTAAAAATTGAAATTATACTTTTTGAGCTCAAAATTGGAATTAAAAATTTAAAATCTATATAATTGAAAATTTAATTATGATTTTGGGATTAAAAATTTGAAAACTTAATTTTTAAACCAATATATTTATAATTGTAAATCTAAAATAGAAATTGAAAATGAAATTATTCTGGTAATTATGATTTTGAGATTTTAGCCCAAACATCTCTCAAATTCAAATCGTATTTTAACCCAAAATTTTTGGTTTAAAAAATTCGATGACTTGATTGAAAAGAAATCTAAATAATAAAACACTAACTATAAGAAAAAATAATTGGAAATATTATATTTTCAGTAATGGTGTAAAACCTTAAGTATGAAAATTACTCGCTGCTATTTTTTGTTGTGCGGATACTACTTTTTTCAAGTACACTTTGCGGCAAGTATTCGAAATATAATTAGGGCTACTAAGCCTAAAGGTATGCATTATTTGCGGCAGTACTTACAAGTTTTAAATTAATTCAATTTTTTAGTACGACAATTGTTTTTTCTTAAAAAAATTTTCAATATATTGTAAATTTAATAAGAATACATAATTAGAAGGAAATTGCTGAGTATATTGAGAAAAGAGCAACAAATTCTTCTGAAAAATATTTTTTAAAATAAATTTTGGTAATTTTAGATATCATATTTTTAATTATTTTGAATTTACCTATTTACTGTGCATTGCTTTCATTTCATTTTATTCATGCTAAAAGAAATTTACAATTCATTAATATTAATTTAAATAAATGTATTGCACATAACCTCCAATAATGTAACAAGTGTATACATTTCATTTTTGTTTTATATAATATTTTTGGATTTATAAAAGTCAAAAACTACAAAAATTATAAATGTTTAAAAATTATAAAAATCTTTAATACTTTGAAAGAAGACAAGACATTTCTACGTATATTCGTACGTATGTGTTTACTATAGTACTGTACAAGTAGTGAGATTTGTATTAAGATAGCCGAATTAATGTTAGATCAGTTGATGAAAATACATTAAAAACATAATAATAGCAATAAATATGTAAATGTGTCTTTAAAAATGAGTATTTTTAGCAGCGCTTCCTGATACATACACTGAAAAAAATGATAAATGCAATAGTTTTGATAAAATATTTTATACACAAAAAAGCATACGTACTCAATTATCAACAAACAAATCAAAACAAAAACAGGTTTAAATACACACACATACACAATTGTTATGTTAAGTATATTTATACACACAAATTGAAGTGAATAAAATAGATTGATATTTAGAAAATGTTAAAAAAAAGACTTAAAAATTATTTTTTTAAACAGCGATGCATGGAAAACATATAATAGTAACTTAAATTGTTTTTATTGTAAGTTTTTATGTGGTTTTATGTAAAATTGTCTATTATTAAAAAAAAACATTTTTGAGGCCGTGAATTTCCAAAATGAAAAAAAATTTTAAATTTTTTTACCATAAGAGAATATTTTTTTTCGAAGAAAGTCGCTCGAAACCGGTTTATAATATTCAAAATTGTAGTGATCCGCCCAAAGTTATAAATTTCTATTTACATCGGTAACTTTGAATTAAAGTATTGTATCAAATAACGAGAGATTTTACTCGATAGCCTCACAGTGCTGCTAGTTTAAAAAGCTGAGTGCAGAAAATATATGGATCCGACTTCAATGCGGTTGTCCACATGCGACTAAGAGGTTTTTATTAAGTCAGTTGTTTGTGTTAAGTACCTCGGCGTATGCTTTGCGGATACCGTCGGCAATTTTCAGTTTTATTCAAGCTACATATCATAAATCATTTACTCAGTTGAAATATCTTTTATTTGCTTTGGCAGGGGAATAAATACTTAATTTTAACAATTAATATTAAATTGTTTTTTTTTGGCTTAATTTAAGCTTAAAATATTTAAGAAAAAGGAAGACAGTTGCACTAAATTAGTATCACAACAAAATTATAATATTCCAAAATTTCTAAAAACTAGTGCGCGAAGACGGATATTTATGGGCCACAGTGCGCACCGCACATTGGCTCCGAGGATAATGCCAGTGTGGTAAGTAGAGTTCGGCGGCCTGGATGTACGCCCAGATTTTCCCAATTTATCCAAGAAAGGCGTGCCGTGAGATCTGTGACGAGAAATGTGTGAAATGAGGACAGAGTGAAAGTTGTAATAGTTACAAATTCCTTGAATGTTTAATTTAAAGTCAAAACACTAAATTAGTTTACAAAACTGGATTGGACAACTCGAAACCACTATCGAATAACAGGTAATAAATGCAGTTCCCAATACAGCTGGTTGTACGTTACGGTGATCTAACTTATTTGGATCGGTAAATAGTAAGGTAATAAATGTTTCATTACCGACATAGTGTCTGGATCTTCAAATATAAATTTCGAATTATATAACATCCTATAAATGAGTTGTATTAAGTTATGAAATAATGACTTGAGAATCTTATAAAAGATCGATCATCATCAGTTTTTAAGGCTCCGTCTTCAATTTTCAAAAACTATGAGCTAATTAACTTTTCGCTGCATTTTTGTCCGTATATGGTATATGTTTAAGTTTGGCCGAAGTCAATTTGGTGGAAAAATGGAGTTATCGGGACAAAACGCTGCGTATAAAAATTCTGGACGTTTTCACATCGCTCTATAAGGTTTATGAGGACACCGAGGTAGTACAACGAATAAAATCTGCGGCAGGCCCGTTATTTCTAAATTATTTGTTAGAATTTGGTCGAATAAGAAAAGATAAACAAGCTGACACACCTATATGCCCGAAATGCAGCAAACGGACATAAAATTATAGAGTTCGGTTGACTTCGCTTCGATTGGAATCTGAGTTATTTTGATACTCATTTGTAGAGCCATACAAGTTTCCCGGTCGGAGGTTCTAACAGTTGGAAATAGTTTGATAGTTGGTTTTATTGCAGCATAAAATTAACAAGTACCTAGTACCACGCAGCCTACATCTGTCAAAAAACATCTAATAAAAAATTAATTTCAAAACTCACCACTTGTGTTCCAGTTGGCACGATCTGCCTTAATCTCGCCACGCAAGCACTTCTCCACATAGGTGAGTGGATCGTAGTCGGTCTGAAGGACTTCACGCAGTAGAGAAATATAGGCGATGGCCAAACGAAGAGTGTCGATTTTGCTTAAGCGCTTCTCATAAGGAAAGGTGGGAACGTGAACGCGCAGCTCATCGAAGGCTGAATTGATGCTACTGCAGAAGTCAAGCAATGAATGGAAGGAAAATGCAGTCACAAAAGAGACATTTCGTGGATGAAATAAGAAGAAAAAGGTTTAGATTTAGTAAAATGTGATAAATGGACAGATCATATAGAAATTACACTAAATAGTTCAACTAAAACCTAATGTGTGCAGAAAAGTGCATTTTTTTGAAGGTTAATCTGGAGATCGGTAGTATAGGTATGTATGTATGATATGTAGATGTAAGTGTGCCTGCACTACTGTAAAACTAGGTTGAATTTTTGGAGAAAAAAAAGAAAATAGACCATTTAGTGTACCCAGTTGGTGCCGACCTCTGGATGCGTTTCCTCTCGCGCACGTTTGCCTGTTGCCGCTGCAACTTGTAAGGAGTCGAGCCAGCTGCAGCAGCAACGGCAGCAGCTGCATTCACCGTGGCGGCATTGCCATAACCCACACTGCTACTGGTCGCGCTCGGACTATTGCAGTGAATAGATGAACTACCACCGCCGCCACCAGCACCACCACCACAGCCCGTGGAAGAGCTCGCCGTGACCAGCGACATGCCTGTTGAAGAATCCAGTAGGTTCTCTATAAATGGAATGAACATCGAATGACAAAAAGTCATACGTAATATTATACAATCATCGTACCCGTATGTTGTAAGTATTGTTGTTGCATCTGACGCAGACTACTCGTGCTCATACGCAGATTGTTGCCGCTACCGCCAAGGCCACCAGCTGCGGCGCTTACGTGATGTGCTGCACCGGCATAAACGCATGACGGCAAATCGTTGATCATGTCATCATCGAAATTATGAAATGACAGGTGACTGTAATAGGAGAGGCAGTGGTTGTTAAGGTGTGTATGTATTTAAATATATTAGATATACGTATATACGACGATATGTCATAACAAATATTTCCTAACAAGGCGTTCTTAATAAAAAATATCATTATAACATTTATGACGGTTCATTATGGATATCTGTTTGTATTTGTAGCCTTAAAAATTGAGTTATTGACTACTAAGGTATCTTTCGGACGCTCTTTACCAAAGCTGTATGGAGGAAGGCGAGGTGGAATCATCTAGTCACTCCCTTCACTATTGACCGATTTTTGCCAGACTGGGATTGGAATATCTCTGTCGACACCGCCTTAAAGGACGAATATTTGTCCAAGTGAGACACAACGATTTTGTATCAACCCTACGACCTAGCATAACCTAAACCTGGGTATCGAAAAAAAAAACCAAGTCATAATCCAATTTCGTAACTGTCAAATCTCTGAGTTTTTTCACCAGCTTTATATAGGTGCTTCCTTAATTTTAGAATACCAAGTCGAAACGAGAAATTGGAACAAGAATAAGAAACTCTGTTAAAGTTATAAGCGTCTCAACTAAATATTTAAATCCTCAACATAACCTAGCAAGTGTGGCACTAGTTTTTAGGCCATTAACTTTTTGCCATAAACTTCCCACTACCGGCTTAGTGTTGTTAAACCTTCCAATCTAAGATTTTCAAGATCATCCTGAATATGAAGATAATACTTAGACCTTTCCTACACTTCAACTTAGTATAATTTGCTAAAGAGCTTTGTTCTGAACATGTAAAGGAATTACTTGAATGCTAGATCTTTCGAAGTTTAAATCTAGAATTCATTTAGCCTTGTGAACTAATATTAACGCAGTAAAGTGTTTTTGTATTAATAATATAGGCTAAGGCAACAAACAATATGCTCTAATAGAACGAGGTCTGCACTTCGGGTGCTGTAACCCCATTAAAGCATTCTCTTAAAATATACAATACATGTTATATGTTTACATAGAATTTACATAAAACCATTCTGCAAAAGAGTTATAAATCTTGTCGACTTAGCGACGGCCAATACCTCTTAAGGCTCAAAAAAAGCGCTGTACGAGTATATGCTTTGGGTCGAAATAGGTAGTTATACTTAAGTGAATTAAGACCGATATGCTTATTATTAATTTATATATTACTAGCCGATGATAATGCGAAAAAAGGGCTCATCTACGTTTGAAAGGTTAAGAAGCGAACTACTTGTAGAAGCACAAACGATGTCGATGTGGAAGGTCCAAGCGTTTACATATACTCGATTACATGCGCTCTGAAGATTTCACTTGATTTGCTGTTCCATTTGCATCAATGCCGCGGTAGACTAATCGGCACTAATTTCTAGACTGTCTAGCTTACGTTAGACCAAGAATATTGCAATGTGATCCTCACATCTTCACATTTTGAGATGAAGTGAAGACACTTTGTTGATTTAAGCAGTTAATTCAACTTCACGTTCACATAAGACTTGATTTTGATTCTGTAAGTATGATCTCCTGAATAACTGTCAAAAATGTGGACAAATAAGTCTTTAAAATTTCTGTTTGCGCGAAAAGTGATATTTTTTGGTTTTTAGGTAAATATAGGGGGGTAAATAGATACCTAGAATGTTACATCGTAATAAATACATGTGTGGACCTGGTACGTCGATGTTTGTGTGGCTGTACGACTCAGTTTATAATTTATCGAACTAAAATTTAGAAGCTAAACGCCCGATCTGATATGATTTCATCATGACATGGTATAGTCCATTTGGCATAATTAAGGCTGAAATCTGTATAATTCTGATATATAAAAGCAAATTGTAGTTCTTAAGCTAAGTTATCTCTTTATAAAATTTTCTTTTCGAAAACCCAATCGAATCATACCAGGTCTATTATTTATTTTGGAATATAAAATTTGTTCAACCAATGTGCTATTTTGCTTAAACTTTAAACTTTATTTTGAAAATTCGGAATTTATGTTTTTATTATGATTTTTCAATAATTCCGATAGTAAAATTAATTGACCTCGACCGGTTAAAAATTTTTAATTTTTTTTATAAATATTGAATGAAAGAAATTATTGAATTATTGACCTTATTGGCGGCGAGGATGAAGAATCGGGCAATTGATTTCTTGACATATTTTTTTTTTACTTTTATTGCTTAATTGTGGTTAATTTTTATTTGTTTATAACAAATTATTTTGTTTCTTAGCTTTTAGTAAATTTATATTTTTAGTTTTGTACATGAATTTCAAATCACTTATCAATAAGCAAATTTCTCTTATCAAATTAAGTTTTGTTTTCAGCACAGCATCACACCGTATAACCGCACTTCAATGAAAATTTTCACAATTAATTCACATCCTGTGAGCGTATATCCTTTTATACACCAATTGGTCCAACTGGAGTGCGGAAATTTGACATTGTTGAATTCCAAGTAACGCACCGAAATCAAATACAAATCTCAGCATTTGAAAGTGCTGAGCGCTTTAAAGGTATTCTGGCAGAGCAACCAACCCTTAGTTATACATATGTTTATGCAAGGATGTTAGTGATGCATTTCTTTTTTTCACTTACACTCAGATGTAACTGTATGTGGTTTGCTGCACTAAAGAGGCGGAGCTAAAGCTACATGTGTTAGTATGTGCTGGATACTGGGTGCTCTTGTTCGGAAGCGTTTAGCTTATAGGAAATAGCTAAGAAATTTGTGATGAAACAGAAAATTAGTCCAAAATGCAATGTTATCGAAACAAATCTTCGGACCGGTATTTCGTTTTAGAAAATTTTAGGCGTGTTGCCGATATAATTTAAATGCTCTTATGTTATTTATTAGCGCTGTTTAAAAAAAACTTCTTTTGGAATCGCAGTTATTTCTCGAGTTCTCGAGCAAACTCCGACCAAAAAGTAAATAGATGTAGATTTATTGGATAAAACTTAATTTAGAGTGTAAGCATAATAGTCATGTACTCACTGAAACTGACCACGTTTTCAACTGCATGTATCTCAAAGTTAGGTAAGGTTAGTTTAGGTTAAATGATCGATCCTTAAAAGGAGATCTCACTTGTACAGCTTATAACGCCGGTCCGTTGTGGTCCCTAGAACTCCTTTAAAAATGTATTATCAAGACCCTCATAAATTGACAAAGCGCTTTGAGCCGATCACAAATTTGTTGAGGCGGTCAATGTCAGTTTCGGCTATATCTGCTGGTTCGTCGAAGGTATGACTGCCGAGATGTTTCAGACTCAGCATTAATGTCTATTGGATCATATCTAGTAAGAACTCTTACGATTGTTTCAAGACGAACTTTGATTAGGGCAAGCAGTTTAGTAGACCTCCTACATTCTATTTTAGGCCAGAAGGAGCTCTCACGCGAGGTCCATAGATTCAGTGTTGGAGCGCAAGATGACAACGGAGATCCGACTCGTTTCCACTCCGATATGAGCGGGCTACGGGGGCAAAACGGAGCTTGCTATCTCATCGGCTTTGCAGTTTTCAGCGATTTTCCTGTGACCAGGAACCCAAATTGCACTTCGTAGAAGAACGTCTACCGCTACCTTAATAGTAGCAACTTTAGCCTCAAGTTTAGCTTGAGGGAGTGCTCTTTACAGAAGACTCCCCCTCCAACTTGAAGTTAAAAATTACTCCAAATCAACTACCCCAAATGAGATAAAGTGATTTTGCTCTTGCCGTTTCTTACCTGTTTGTGACAGTTCAACTTCATTCACAGCATGTGGCGGCCATGTTTGTTATACTCCTTCTACTTGGCACATCAATGCTTCCTCTGTCTGTGCGGAATCCAATTCACTCTCTTAAATTATATTCAATGGGAGGAGTTTCGAATAGTGACAGAAAGGATAAAATAAATAGCGAGGAAGAGAGAGATGTTAAAAATTGTGTATGTGGGTGTAAGCTGCAATATAAAATTGTAGAAACTGCAGGAGATTGAAAATAAATATGAAGTAATATGATATCATTATGGTGGTAATCGAATGTAAATGAATCATAGTAAACACCTGTTTATAAATATATGATAATGATATAATAAAAAAAATATTATAAGTGCTACTTAAGAAATATATATATATATATATATTATATATTATATGGGAACACATTTTTTTTAGTGTTTCACAGAAATATAATGTCTCTATTGCAATGAAATAAAGTGTATTAGTGTATGTAAAACTTAGAACGAAAATCGAAAAATTTGTCTATAATAATAAATATAATTCTACGAAACATATTTAATCTGTTGTTGAAACTTTAAGCGCGTTTTTCTCGAAATAACGTTCTTACGGTCGGCCCGGATGATAAACAATGTTCTATCTAATCGAATGGGATGGCATTTTAAATACTTGGAGGTTATTCTACTCATCAAAAGCTCTCGCAGAAACTATAATCTTTTTTAACGCCAACTTTCCATTTTACAGCCCGATTTTAACTTAAAAAATGTCACTTTTTTCGAAGTCAACCATTTTTAAATTTTTTAACAAAATTGTTTAAAAAATTCATCCAACCAGAATGACAAGCTCACAGAAAAATAATCTTTTTGATTTATCTATTTTAGATGTCGTCAAGGAACAAAAAATTAAAAAAAAATTAATACTAATTTTTTGTCCACTACTATTAATACTATTAATAATATATTAGAAAATGAAACTGATTGAATTGAATTTTTGCCAAATAAAATAGTCACAAAAAACATTTAAAAAAATGCAAGTTACCTTAATGACGATAACATTGAAAAAGTTAAAGAAAAAGTCCTTGAAGATCGTCGTATTAGCATCATAGAGGTAGCAGAGCATCTCAACAGCTCTTATGGATTGACTCAACACATTTTATGTATGAAGCATGTTAATGAGACTAGACTCAAGACTCAAACCAAATTACCCGATTATATTGCCAAACGACGTCGTAGAAATCGTCGTAGAAATCGCATAGGAATAGCTGAGGCATCATTACTGGTGACAAGGCGTGATTTTAGGAATATTTGTATGATGTTAAAATTGTCCAACATTCTAGTAAATGACGCTCAAAAAATTCGTCGAAACCGAAAAAACCAAAATCGCTGTAGGCTATCTCAGCATAGGCTTATAAAAAGTGTATGGATTAAGTCTTGGCATGTTTGTATTGGCTCATGAAAATATTTTGAGGGCGATAATATAAGTTTGTATTAAAACACGTGAAAATGTAGTTTTTCATCAGTTCGGGTCAAGATTGATCAAAAGGTAATTTGATTCACAGATTACAGTTAAGCTAAAAATACCTTTCCCCGATTTCCGAGTTTTGAATGAACTATATCTAAGGTGGTAATATAAGGTAACGAATGTTCCACAAAAAGTAAGGTCTTTAGAGGGAAAAGTGTTTACAGTTATCTATTCATACCGCTGGTCGAACTTCTCTCTCTGGCTCTTTTTCATGGAAAAGAATAGCATCAAAATGCATACTAACTCTAGGGTATCTTGACGCGGCCTGATAAAGTAGACTACTATCATAATATGTTTCGACTGGTAATTGTCCATTTGGTAAGCTAAAATTGTTTTCTGCAAAATGATGAGATGAGTTATCTCAATATTTTCTTCTGCCAGATTTGTGATGGGCTCAGGATCAGCGATCTTTCCTTTTATTTTAGTCATGACTTGAGGTTACATCTATGATAGGTTCGTTAAAATTTTCTTTGAGGATTACTGTACCAATCAAAGAGAACAAAGAAATTTAAGAAACATTCAGCTGTTGAGGTCATGTTGATGCTCCGAATATTTTGACATAACAAAGTTCTCCGGAATAGTCTTTAGAGTCTACTTTTAATACTAAAATTACAAATTATTGAAGCCATCACAGTGTGGTAAAAAAAGTGTAAGTATTGAAAACTTTAACTGGAAATTGTTTAGGAATAAATCTAAATCACTGATCATCCGATTGGATTTCCCACCATAAGCTCAAACCGTGAGAGCATTAAAGTATTTGCCTTGTAATGACATTTCGGTTGCACGCCAATTAATTAACCCGAAACTAACTGTATCAGCACAAACTTATGCCATGCCTAATTTAACCTGTGAAACTGGAACAGGAACAGAACAATTGAAGTGTGACAACTTTTGCAACCGCAACAACAACATTTCAACGCGGTAGACAGTTAGCATGCGTGAGTGTGAAGAGCGCTGCAAATTATATGAAATAAGCGGAGGGTTGAAGGGGAGTGCCCGAATGGCGAATACATACTTACGAGTAGGTATAAATGTACGTGAATGATTTTTGTTTCCTTTTCCACCAACAAACAATGTGAAGTGGTGTGTAATTTGCTTGCAAGTTCCCCGGCATACGTTCGCTGTCAGCGACAATTGCTGCAATTGAATTATTTGTATAAATTAAAAACAGAAATTAGCCATGTCAATGATTTGAATGCGATAAACAGCGGATACACCAGCAGCCAACAACAACTGCAACAACAGTTGATGGGTGCAACGTGTAGCGGAAGAGGCTGGTGAGTTTTGAAGTAATATTCTGCGACCCTTTCCGTCTTCTCTTATGTTGCACGCTCATTTAAAGACGATCATAGCTGTCGAAGTTGCCACGCGTCGCGCACGCGTGCTCATGGCTAAACGCCACAAACAATTTCCTGAGGCGAGAAAAACCGCTGGCATGACCAGCACATTGTTGAGAGCACACAGAGCCGAATAATATGTTTGTGGAGCTTGGCAAACAACAGCCACATTTTGGGTTAGGGTAAAGATATGATTTGTTGAATAGAAAAACATTTTCGGTAGGATTATCTAGTGCTGTTGGTTACGGCGAAAACGCGCCACCTTTGCATTATCTTGTATCCCGACACAGCGTTGAGCTGTTCAAAGAGCACACCAGTCGGCCTTTTGTGTGGTCACGGTCGTCAGTCAAGATGTTGATGATTTTGAGTGCAATCTTGTTAGAAATCAATGTAAATACGATGGTTTATTCAATTTTATATTCGACTGAAGTTACCCTCTAGTTTAAAAAATAATGTCGGACCGAGAATCAGATACTTCCATATTAGAACAGTAATTGCTTAGATCGGGCCCTTGCGAAGAGAACGGTGGATGTTGAACTTGCGCTAAATAAAATAAAGCATTGGATGGCACTTCCATTTTGGACGACTTAGAAAAGACATCATTAAAATAATGATTAATTACAAGTTAACGAAGTTCAACTGAAATATTCTCTATTATAAGGTGATTGTGGCGGTTCTCTTAGCTTGCAAAATTATGAAGACGAAGACTCAAGCTTCCAAGCATAAAACACATGTCACAATTCTATATCGATCATAATGTATTTTTAGGGTTGCGGATTTACCTTTAAAATATTTGACTTTTTTCAAAATAAACATTACTAATCACTGTTCCGTGCATGAAGCGAAGTGCTATCCAATGCATTGGCCCGAATCAAAATACACTCAAGATCAAATTTGACTCAGACTGGTCCATACAAACTGCGTGCAGAACCCAATTTTTCAGTGCACAAGACGATTGTTTCAGCAAACAACCTCAGTTATATTTCATTGTCGGTCGAAACGAGCTCATTTATGGAATCTTTGAATACTTTCAAACTGACCAGCAGGGATCGACTAGGTTAACATATAATTATTACTTCCAAGATTATTTTAGGGGAGATGTACTTTAAATGTCTTCTCTATAAAAGTACTCCACTTTCATCAAGCTTGAAACAACCACCTTGACATTTTGGAAATAGGGCCGATCAACGTTTTCGTATAAACCGCAGCCTGATCTATAGAACAACGTCATAGAAAAATTAAAAAGGATGTGAAAAGTATGTTTAGAATGAAAAAAAGGCTCTGGCTGAGAGAACTGCCGACTGGGTGTTATCAATTCTTCTCTCTTAATATACTCTTGCAACATGTTGCTACAGAGTATAATAATTTCGTTCATCTAACGGTTGTTTGTATCACCCAAAAATAATAGATACATATATATATAAATGATCAGGATTATTAGACGAGTTGAAATCCGTGGATGACTGTCTGTCCGTCCGCCCGTTTTCGCAAGCGGTAACTTGAGTAAAAAAATAAAATGTCGTAATGAAACTAGAAACACGTGTTCCTTGGCAAAGAAGTGAGTGAGTTCCTAGATGGGCGTAATCGGCCACGCATTCATGATTGCGATGCGTCTACAATGTAGTCTCCACAATAACAATTAATTATGTAGTAAATATAAATTTATAAAATATTACACTGTTATTTTAATTTGATGAGTAATTGTATTACGTTTGCTATTCGGATTATCCCTGATTCTCAAATACAATTACGAGGGCCAAGCACTTTTTTGTCTACAAAAGCATATAAATAAATCGTCGCGCTGGCTGAGATTCACATAAATATGATAAGAAACTAAAAGGGGCTCGATGTTTTGCAAAGCGTGTATTGCAAGATTAAAAATGTGTGTTTCGTATTCATAATATTTTGAGAGACCATTTCTCTTACTCAGTTGTAAGTTAACTCTAGACTAAAATATAAGAAGAAGTTGTTGAACTCGATTCCTCGATACACGATGATGAATTTTCTGTCCGATTACCCGATAGTATGGAAATATTGGGGCTTCTATTATTCCATTGTGCATATATGTATTCTGAACATGCGTTGGAAAGCTACAGTTTTGAGAGTGACAAAATTGATTTGCACGATTTAAAAGTGGTGATTTTGGCTTGAAAGACGGAGAATGTCCTGGCGGCCAAAAAAGTTTGAAGATAAGAAACTGGAAACATTACTTAATGAAGATTATTGCCAAACATAAGAAGAACTTGCAGAATCTTTGGGAGTCACCAGCCTTTTAAATCGTTTTTGCATCGGATTGTGACCGGTGATAAAAAATGAATTCATTACACAATATGAAACCTGGCCAACCAGCCAAATCAACGGCAAAGCCGAATATCCACGACGCCAAGGTAATGCTCTGCATTTGGTGGGATCAGAAAGGCGCTATGAGCTTCTGAGGTCGATGAAACCATAAATGACGAATGCTACCGACAATAACTTATAAAGTTCAAGCAAGTGATCAACGAAAATTAACAGGAATTCGCGACTAGACACGAATCAATAATTTTCCATTTTGACAATGCTCCACCTCATGTTACGAGACGGGTTAAAAATTATTTGGAGAGCAGAACCTTACCCCTTCTGACTACTGTTTATTCCGGTCGATGCAGAACGTCTTTACTGGAAAACGGTTGGCATCAGAAAAGGGCATCATTAATTCTTGGTCGCCAAGTCGGATGGAATCCACAAATTGTCAGAACTATGCAAAAATGTACATTTTTTTTTACATTAAATGTTCAAATTTTGAGAAAAAACGGGCGAATGTAGTTATATACAAATAGCACGATTGGAGGGTAGAACCGAAATTTACGCTCTTGCAAAAAAAGGTGAATAGCTGTCTACATGAAGTATAATACTGTTAACTGTACGAAATTTTTTTGGTTATATTGAGCAACCTTGTAAACCCAACTGATGAGCGAGGAAAATGAATATGTTTTCAGTTGTTGTTTGGAATTGGTGACAAACTGTAAAGCAAAGAAATGAGGGATGCGTCATTGTGACAGCGTTTGAAGGAAAGAGTTTACTTTCTACAAAGTATTTAGTATTTTTTATAATATTAACAAAAATATATGTAAACTGTTTTGCTGTTGACATTTCATGGAACACAACTGTATTACTTGAAGTACAAAAGCGTTTGACATCTGAATATTGAGAACGAGCAAATCATTTACGTTTATTTATTATATATTTTTTTAGCTATTAACGACGTCCGAAATATTGAATTTTTGATAGGAAATTAATTTATTCAAAAAAAAAAAACTAGTTCGATTTCGAGAATCCCAACAATGCAAAAAGAAGGTAAAAATTTAATGAATAAATTAATTTCAATTAGTTAGTATTATTTTTTTTATTGAAATTTATACAGAAAAAAAACGTTCCGACCCGATTATCGCCATTCTGGGTAGCGATCTGGGACTTTGGCAGTTAATCGTCTGCTTATGGATATTCTTGTCTAAATTTCCCACCGGTTGGGTGCAAATCTCCATGGTCTTCTTGCAGACGCCCGTTAAAGCCTCGTGCAAAGGTGGCAGCGGCACGAATGCCACCGACGTCTGTGAAGCTAATTGCGATGGTTACGAATATGATCGTAGCATTTTTAAGCAGAACATTATAATGGAATGGGATTTGATATGCGATCGCCAGTGGCTGGAACAGATGTCGCAATCTTTAGTTATGGTCGGCATTATGTTGGGCAATATGATTATGGGCATTCTGGCTGATAAGTAAGAAATATTTCGGTACCGAAATATTTTATCTTTATCGAGTCTCAATTTCTCTTCTCGCAGATGGGGACGTCGCCCCATGTTTGTGGGCTCATGTGTTCTTCAACTTGTGTCAGGTTGTTTGGTGTCGGCATCACCATGGCTTTGGTTTTATATACTAATGCGGTTCTTGGATGGCTACGCAACTGGTGGCACAATGGTCACAGGGTAAATTTAACTGTACATTACAAAATATTCTCTCAATAATCATTTTGTTCTGCGTAGGTTCACAATCATCATGGAAATCGTGGGCCCAAGTAAACGTGAAATAATGGCCATACTCTATCAGATACCATTCAATGTAGGTCATGCCACACTACCGCTATTCGCTTACTTTTTACGAGAATGGCGTTGGTTTCATTTATCATTTTCATCATTCTCAGTTGTTTATCTAGTTTTCTTTTTTACCGTACCAGGTGAAGTATGCTCACTATATTTCTATAACTCAATATTGCTCACTCTCTCTCTTGTCCAGAATCTCCCCGTTGGCTTGTTATAACCGGTCGCAATGAGCGGGCCGTCAAATTGCTTGAGAAAGCAGCGAAACGCAATAAAATGCCAACCGATAAGGTGGCACAAGATATAGAGGAGGCACAGCGAGTTTTAACAGCATCTGCAACTACAAACAAAGGTTATATCGGTGATCTATTCAAACATGCTTATCTGTGCCAGAAGACACTTGCTATGGCTTTCAATTGGTTGGTTGTTTGTTTCGTCTACTATGGCTTATCCCAGTATATGACCTCACTGTCTGGAAATATATTCCTCAATATTGCTGTGAGCGCACTTTTGGGTGTACCGGGAACCTGTTTGTGTGTACCGGCCACTAAATATATGGGTCGCCGCCTTACATTGTTCTTATCAAATCTGCTCAGTGGCCTGTCACTTACGCTCTTAGCATTTGTTCCCAGCTTCGGCGGTCCCGTTAAGGTGATATTGGCATCCATTGGTTTGTTTGGTGCTTCGATCACATTTCCGAACGTATATTTATATGCCGGTGAACTATTTCCAACTGTCGTGCGTCCTTCAGGGGTAGGCTTATGCTCTTTTGTTGGTCGCATTGGTTCGATTGTTGCGCCGTGGGTTGAAGGTTTAAAAAAATATTATATATCTATACCTCCGGGGATTTTTGGCCTTTTCGCTTTTTTAGCTGCTATCTCGGTTTTTCTTATGCCCGAAACGAAAGGTTATCCATTGCCGGAAACAATTGAAGATGGTAACACTTTTGGAAGAAATGTGCCGAAACCGCAAAATCAATAGTTAAATATAACGATTTATATAAAATTTCATGTGACATTTAACGGATTTATTTAATAAAAATATATTTAGCTATTTTAAAATTAAATGGTATAAGTTAAAAGTGAAGGTATGTATCAAAAGAATATGAGTTGACCAACTGCTAATCGTGATCTATGGGAATAAAAATGTGTTTTATTTCGAGTTTTAAATCTAAAAATCATCATTATTTGTGCTGTTAGCGGTGATAGAGAGACTTCATACCAAACACTCTCATTTATCGCAGTAAGCGATCGCATGTAAATTGTGGTCAAGCTCTGATAGGATCTAAGGAGGAATCGACCAAAATTATTCAGACTGATTGTAGTTTTGACTCCGTCGGAATACGGAAATCTCTACAGCTCCAAATCTAACTGCCGACCTGATTGCATTCAAATCAGCCAGGTCTTTGATCAAAATTAACTGAAGCATTCTCAACATCTATTGGAATCGAATTGTAAAACCAACCAAAATTAATTAATATTGAGAATACAGAAAAATCCCAGGAGCAAAATTCTGGCGTTAATATCCAAGTAAATTTTAGACAACTTGGTTTAAAGTCGAAAACACTTTCACATAGACTATATACCATACATAGGTTACTACCTTTCGACAGTAATTTCAAATTTTCCATGGTTTTTCTAATATAAAAGAAATATTCCTTTATCAACACAATCTAAAAGAGAAAAATCCGTTAAGAGCCAGAGATCTCATCTATCAAAGTAGCATATATAATAGTAGTATTAAGTGATGATGCAAATGAAAACAAAAGTCCTTAATATAAAAGTTATATAGTTATTTGAGGCAATCATATCTAGAACTTATCGATTACTAGCCATTTAGAAGAAAATTACAACCCTGCTGCTCGTAGAAAAATATTTCTCCCTAATTGTTTTGCCACCTCACTTTTAATCCTCAAACGTATGTCCTGTCAATAAACGCGGCGGTTACATAACAGACTTGTTTACTTACTTGCGTGGATTTTAGGTTGAATCTCTCAATTCTTGTTTAATAAATTAATTTTCTTTGTACTTTACAATTGAACTGTAGTCTTTTAGTAGATAATATACGTATGTATATATATTTCCCAATAAATATAAATGTACTTTGTGGAGAGATTATGAAAATGTTTTTAAGAGCGATCCATAAAGTTGTAGGAAATAAAAACAAGCTTTGTGGTGAGATCAACTGGCACTGATGGACTTGCATAGGTCAATTGAAGAAAAGAAGAAACTATATATACAGATGGACACACACTGACGATGCAGGCAGACGAAGAAGCTTCATAAATCCATTTATTAACTGAATATGAAGGTACTCTGTATCTGCTTGTATGTATATTGCGATTTTCTTCTCGCCTCATAGTTAGTTCATTAGTTTTTAAAACTGGGAATCTCAAATTACTTTAAAAACTTCACAGTGTAGTGTGTCTAAGAAGTAGGGTAAGTAGGGGTAAGTCATAAAGCAAACTTTTAACGTCGATATCCTGATAAAGCAGAACCTACATAGACGCCTCATCTTAAGAAAATGATTAAACAGTATCAAGAGATGATTCATACCAAATCCATATCTCCAAAGTAGTATATATATATATATATATATATATGTATGTATATGTGGTTAGAACCCAGAGGTCGGCAAATATACATATGTCTCATGATGACCGCTATATGAACAAATTTTTAATGCTGAATAGCGACCGCAAACGCGGTTCGTCTCTCAAAGAATGACAACATTGAGACAGCCTACTTTCAAACATAAAATAGCGTTATAAATAATACCGTTAGGAGAACACTACTAACCTATCACGACTTTAAATAAAATAATATAAGTATTTTTATGCAACAGGGTGGAGTGAAAAAAAAGTATTTTTTTTGCTTATCTTGAGAAGCAAATTTGTATATTATAAAAAAAAAATTTTTTTGGTAAACAAATCTTTTTTTAACATCTGTTTTTTAAAGTAAAGTTTCGAGTTAAAATTTTTATTTCGTAAAAAATTTTTGATAAGTGTTCCAGAAGCCGTGGCTAGTCTTCTTTCTGGCCAATTAAAAGTTATCAACTAAAAAAAAATGTTTGTGGTCATTATTGGAGTTAAAAAAAAGTCTTAAACGACAACATGCTTTCTTTAAGCGTTAAAATATATTTTGAGTTAAAAACCATCAAATTCTGTAATTTTTATATAAATGTGAAGAGTTTAAATCAAAAAAATTTGTATTTCAAAATTTATATATTATATAACCTTGCAGGTTATCACTGGGAGCACACAATTTTCCACTTTTTTCGTTGTCTCCTAAAGATTTCGACATGTATTTATAATATATAATGTAAGTACGCGAAGGTGTATGTGTATACTTGTATATGTACTAACGGTGCATATTTGCTTTTCTCATCGAGTTCGGTATGCAATTGAGTGGCACGTTTCTCAACTACACGTATTATCTCTCGTATTATTGTCATGTTGTTGTTGTTATAATTATTTACTACACCAATTCTGACATCAAAACAAACAAATTAATTTACCACACTCACTCACTTCTCTCACGCAAAGTCTCTACGGGCGTACAAATATTTGAACATAAATCCGTTTTGCTTTTTTATAGACTTGTGGCCGTGCATGCGCTCGGAGATTATGTGTGAAGTGGTTGCCACAGCTCGAAAATATTGTAAGCCTAGTTGCAGTTGAAGGGACGTTTTTAAATGAATGTACAATTGAAGGTTGTAGGATATTTTAAACGAAGAGTACAAGTCGATTTTAATTGGTGCAGTTTCATTGTGCGGAATTCCGACTTTTACTGACGCTACCTTGTATTTAAAAAAAAAAAAAGTAAGGAAAGGCCTTCATAAACATTTATTTTAATATTATTTTTCAACTATAAATGCTTCTTGCTAATGCAATTCGTTGTACTAACGGTCTTTTATATTATTGTGGAGCTTAGTTATGCCTTTAAATATGTTTTCTATTAATGGCAATTTTTGGGCGTGAAAATCGTCTGATTTCGTCTATCTGCAATACGAACCCTTCTGGGTGTCAAGAAACATGTGTACCAAGTTTCATCTCGATATCTCAATTTTTACTCAAGTTATCATGCGATAACGGGAGGGACGCACGAATGGACACACAGTCATTCGGAATTCAAATCTTTTCGTCATTCTGATCATTTAACATTTATATACATAACCCTATATGTATGCATGTACTTGATGTTAGGAGGCTTAGTTCAGAGTAAAGTTCCACACTGGCATGGGTTCCAGGTCCGATGCGTCGTAAAAAAAAGTGGTTAGGTGTAGTAGTAGAGTTGGAGAATAGTTATATAGTTGTAGGGTTATTTCGTACATTTGCATATTAATTCTACTCTCTCAATGGATCTTCAACAAGGTCTGTTGATTCGGTCCATAAGAGATATTGAGATCTCTCTGATGGTAACTTCATTAATTCTGATTTTGAATGGTGTCACAGAATCTGATTGGATTTGCGTCTTTTCGAACATATGCAAAATCAATATTCGAATCAGCTGTTTACGAATGTGACAAAATTTGCAAATGAATAAATTAGGAAGCGTTTTATAAACTTGAATTGCTGAATGAAGCCTACTAAAGTTTACAATGAGTTCCGCTATTTTAGCTTTTATTTAATTTGAAGAAAAAAGCAACGAAAACAATAAAAGGAATATATTAAAAGATCACAGTAATCCACTTGATGCACTAGCGTAGTCGCATGTGAAATTTGGCTTGCGTTTACTTGTATGTTTGTATACATGCTTACTTTACAGATTTATATCACATTATCGACTGAATAAAGACACATTTGGGTGTTAAATTACGTTCTGTAAATTCTCTTAAAATATCATGATTTTTTCCATAAACTCGATAATTATGACATTTTTTGTTTTATTCTTATGTTTTCCCCCATAGAAATAATGATACATTAAGTCGTAACAATAATATAAATTAATATTTTCTTAACTTACATTTCAAATCTGTCAGCAAAAATCCTATTGCTTTGTTTCTGATATCAAAACCGATAAAATTGGTTTCCGTGACATCAAAAACCGATACAATTTCTGTTTCGAGCGTCAAACCAATAATATCTGAATTCATGACACCTACTACATTTTTTTTATCGGTTTCAATTCTGATTCCGACAGCTAACAGATTTTACAACACCCCTGAACATTTTTCTATATTCGGTTGGCGCGCGCAATCTTTGCATGCAATGCAATGTAAGCTTTGTTTGGCTCGTTAATTTCGCTCTCTTATCGTGGTTGTGGTTGGATAATGGACTTTTTTAGCCATTAAATACTTTAACTAGCAATCAAGATTGAGTTAGGCTTGGTGGAAAATTATCGATATCGAATTTTTTAAATGACGTTACTTATATTTTCGATTATTAGCCAAGGAAAATAAAATTTTTTATAAATTTTTTTGTTTGTTTAGAGTTCTTTCGGCATAAAAAAGTATATGGCTAATTGTTCGCACTAGAAAGTTACCCAGCTTACGGGTGGTATGTAAATTAAGCACTAAAGCTAATACTTGCCCATTGAGTATTATCTTCGAAGCGGATCAGTACAACTTTATATGAAAATGTTTTCATTTCCCACGCACCAAACGCACAATTGAGCTAAGCACCTCGCAATAAAATCGAATATATATACAAAAACAACTACAACGTGAGCAAAGGTGGCGACAGGCAACAAAAACCAACCACAAGTATATAAACAAATCAGTGCAAGCGCTTGTTAGGCCACTTTTTTGGCAAAACTACAAATATACGTATGTATGTGTGGATGTTTTGTATGATGTGTGTGTGTTTGCGCATGTGTTTGTGTATTTAAGCAGGAAATCGGCGCGGAAGCATACGTTTATTTGTGAAATGCGATAATTTAATTGTGGCCTTACATTCATTGCACCCCTGGGAAGCAGCAGAGGGGAATGTACACACAGTGCATACATGTATGTTTGTACATATGTATCATTGTGATTGTTGTTGTTGAAAGTTAAATTAACAATCGTGTTTACATTGCTTTGTAACAAGATTGCACTTAAGATTGTCAATTTGACAGGCGCCGATGGCATAAGCGCAAGCGCAACACTGCCACGCCCGGCGTACAACCCCTAACGCCTGACGCGGCCTTACACACACACATACACATGCAAACGTTTCGCTGCAATATTAGATAGTTTGCTCTGACATGCGAATTGAAAACGTTTAACCTCACAGCCAGCGCAGTCAACTACATATTCTAGGCTGTGGACGAGAACGGAGGGTAGGGGGCTGCAAGTGTAGCAGCATTGGATAGAAATTGTCGATAATGAAAAGGCCTTCACTTCCGCCGCATCGGTGATGCCACTTGCATAACAGCATCTGTTTGTATGTATGTATCATAGCTTCGACGCTGCATAGCTGGTCATGCCAGTGGTTTTTCTCGCCTCCGGCAATTGTTTGCGGCGTTTAGCCATGAAAACGCGTGCGCGACGCGTGGCAACTTCGACAGCAATGATCGTCTTTAAATGAGCGTGCAACAAAAAGCAAAGTGTTGGCAGAAAATATGGCAGCAGTCTCCTTCCGCAGTCGCATGGTGTTTCATCGTTGTTGATGATTGCTGGTTATTTTTGTGAGCATGTCACCGGTTATCTTGCTGAAATCACTGACATGGCTAATTTCTGTTTTTAAGTCATTCTAATTATAGACATATGTAATTCAATTTCAGCTTATTAAAATGCAAGCAAAGTTAAAACATAGCTTGCGAATAAAAAACAAATAAATTTATATCCTGATAAAGGTATTTAAAAAAAATTGCTTTACTTATGTAAACATTTATTTTAAAGAAATCAGTTGCGAGACATTTATGTCACTGGAAGTCCTTAGAAATATAGTTTCTACATGCCTCTAAATGTCAATGATCTCTCCAGTTGTTGGAAAATGTTCATTACGCGTTTTATTCTGAAGAAATTTGAACTGAAAGAAGACAGTTCGGCTATAAATGCATGATTATCGCTATTGATATCGATATATATCCATATTTCACACAATACATTTTTATACTCTCGCAACATGTTTTGTTCATCCAACGGTTGTTTGCAACACCTAAAACTATTCGAGAAGACGAGACTAATGGAAGTCCGGGTGCCTGCTTGTCCGTCTGTGCAAGCGACTATTTGAGTAAAAGTTGAGATATCATGATGAAACTTGGTTAGTATTGCTGATGTTCGGCATCAGACCATTTTCACGCCCACAAAACGCCGAAATCCTATAAGTGATATAACTAAGCCGCAAATTAAGATATAAAACTCTAATTCCGTACAAGGAACAGAGTAGGGAGAGGAATAAGAGATTTTAAAATTTTTAAGAAGTGGCGGCAGCCCCGCCGCCTAATAGGCTTAATGGCATCCTTCATATTTTTCGTATTTTTTCATACACTAAGAATATGATTGAAACATCAAATATGGTTCCAAAATCGGATCAATACTTCCTTTAGCCCCCATATCCTATTATTATGATTTTCAAACTTCCGTTTGACTTTATACCGCATATATCGGTCAATACGTAAGTTAGCTTAATGAAATTCAGAAAGCGTCTCTTTCTAACAACGGTGTGTCCTTGTGCCATAAGTGGTTACTCTTCTTACATTTCTTTTCAGTTTGCATACATATAATATATCACATATAACTCTATATATGTGTTAAAATTTCATCCATTACTTTTTAGTACCAATGCACTTATTGTATTTTCAAATTGCTCTTTATTACTTTTTTCTGGTGGAATTCTATTTCAAATTGAAAGCTCTAAATTTATTTTGAAGCACCTGTGTCACCCTGTTGTAGACAATAAACTTATTATATCACAAACCCTGTAGTTTCATCAACATTTATCGAGCTTTTACTTCGCGCCACATTTTAATAAAGCTTTTTGACAGGAGCATGCGCAATTACTTCGGCTATAGAAATTTATTTTTGGAGTTGCTGACAGGGTATTTCCGTTATAAACATAAAAAATAGTTCAAATATACTTACATAAGCTGGAGTAAATGAGTTGTCGAGTTTATATATGTATACGAGTATATACATATGTATAGGTATTTGCGTATATACATGTACAGGGTGCTTCTTTAGAAGGTTGACTTAAACACGTTAATTTTGAACTGTTTGTTTGAAATTCAAAATTAATTTGAAAGCTATGTTTAAAAATTAATATGAAAAAGTTAATAACTTAAAAATATATCGAATTATTCTCTTCCAGTCCTATTGGGTCTTCATAATCATACTTAAGATGTCTGTGTTTTTCATATAGATAGGAAAATTCTTTCCAATTTAAAAACATTTACTAGTTTCTGAAAAAAGTGATAACATTGTATACAGATATATGTAAAGCACAATGTATGTGTTTTTAATTCACTTCTGTAGGATTATAGCAAAAATTAATGTTTCAAAATCTACAGGTATGTTCCCACAAAATCACCCTTTAAAATGCTCCCATTGCGTTAATCCCTAATCTCGACCTTCGTTATGACCTTTATTACGTAGTTACTACAAAGTATACGTGCAATGTCATACTTACGCATACAAATATTCGTAAATACATACATATAAACATCCTCAGTACCTTATTATCAATGCATGTGAGAGTACAGTGAATCGGATAATTAAACGTACCAAAAACATTAGATCAAAAAAAAATTTAAAATCTTAACAGAATAGGTTAAGCTTTGGTATTGAGTTGAGTCGAAAACAGTAATAAGTCTTTTGAGACATTTCTTTTCCCCAGAAACCAAAACGGTGGTTCCACGATAACGATGAAAACTAGCCCATAAACATTTCACTGGAATGTTTAATTAGATCTATTAAATCGTAGATAGTTTCAACATATAGCTAAAATATTTGTATATCGATTTACTGTTACTTCTAAACTAGAAATACTAGTACAGATATCTTTCATAGTTCTTAGGCCGAAACCACATATTATGCGATGTGAAAATTGTTCCGGCAAATCATGCTGACTTCATGTCTTTGTTAAACGAAGTTGCTAGAGTCACCTTCATCTAAACCGAAGATCAGATAGAGCTGTGATGTAAGATGTTGGCAACAAAGTGAACGACGTTACATAAAAGACAAGTGGTTCAGGTTCATCTGGAGGCCGCGCGGTGATACACAACTTACGTCATAACGCTTATGCTTCATGATTGGTTTAATGGTATTGTTATTACTGCTGCTCTCTCTCGGAGGTGACTTGAGTTGACAGTTTAGAAGTTACGATTTAACTCCGTTTAACAATATGTTGAGGTTAGTGGATTACGTTAAGAAAACTCAATCGACTGAAGCTCTTAAAATCTACGAAACTGCAGTCATCGCTTAGTAGCAGTTCAATTGTTTTTTTTTTCAACTCAAACGCTTAGAAGCGTGTCACAGTGAGAAGCAGAACTGTTTGGAAACTAATTTTCATATTGTGCGTTTATTTATTTAAGTCACTGTAAGTATGTTTGTAGATACATAACTGTCATACCTTTGTGTAAAACATTATACCTGCAACGCACAAAGCACTTCCTGCCACAGCCATACAAATCTACCCTTAAAAAGGCGCGTAGGTAAAAGCACAGTCAAAAATGAATAAGCTGCATAAGCATAGTGATATGCATACCCACACATATATAAATATATATACATAAACTACTAGAGGCAAACAAACTTATCGACAAGCAAATGCGTAATTGCGATGCTCTCAACGCTGCTGGTCTGCTTTTGAATGAGTCCGCAAAGTCTCGCTTAAATTACTTCGTATCAAACATATATTTACATGTATACAACTTTGTATGATACATATGTATATGTATGTATACCTACAATCATATTTGTAGAATGGAGTAGCAATCGCATGCTTTGTGTCTATCCCTACGAAACCGGTAAGCGCAGACTTCAGCCGACATTCGTGCGCAGCGCTGAGTCGCTGTCTATAGGCGGTGCGGTAATCCACACAAAAATAGTAATAAATGTTAAACATATTAAAATTATTTAATAATAAAATACATATATATATACGTACTATAACGCGCCGACACTTAATCTAATCTATGCAAAGCAGATTTCGGTGGTAATTTTTTCATTTGCGACCGAGCGCAGCATACGCGCAGACAGCAGCGAGCTGGGCGGAACCACGTCTGTGAGAGGCACGAGCAAGTTTTACTAAATAAATTAGCGCGAAAGAGGTGTATTGGTTTGTAGCAGTAGAAGACGAGCTTTGAGTGGTGTCACCAGCATCTGGATTCCAGGAAATCTCAAACGAAATGGAGAAACGCGCTGGTGAGTATAAAAGGCAGACATGGTGGCTCTGAAACACACAATTGCGTTTCGGTGAAAGTTGATGACTGCTTGCATGTTTACATTTTACAGACAAGCCCACACGCCCCGATCCTATAATCTCGATTTTGGGTAGCGATTTGGGTCCTTGGCAGCTTATCGTCTGCTTGTGGATTTTTCTCTCGAAATTTCCCACTGGCTGGGTGCAAATCTCGATGGTGTTTTTGCAGTCGCCAATTAATTATAGCTGTCTTGATCCTGATAACAGCACTGACGTTTGCTCGGCGAACTGCAAAACTAAGTTCTATAAACATATCAATTTCAAAGAGAATATAATCACCGAATGGAATTTGACCTGCGATCGTCAGTGGCTATCCAGTTTGGCACAGAGTTTTGTTATGATTGGCATAATGCTGGGCAATATTATTTTTGGACTCTTGGCTGATAAGTGAGTACATATATATATATATAATATATATATGTATATGTATTTTGTATTTACTTATACTATATTGATTGTTTATTGTATAATCTGCGCCTTGTTGTAGATGGGGTCGCCGTCCCATGTTCGTGAGTGCCTGCGTTATGCAACTCATTTTTGGTTGTCTTGTGTCTGCATCGCCATGGTTTTGGCTTTTTGTCGTGTTTCGCTTTTTGGATGGTTTCGCCACAGGCGCTACCATGTCCACAGGGTGAGTAAAAAAACTAAAGTGGTTACTTGAAAGTCGTTACTTAATACCGTAAATATATTCTGCGCTTCAGCTTCACGATTATTATGGAGGTTGTGGGCAAAAGTAAACGTGAAATAATGGCCATACTTTATCAGATACCCTTCAATTTGGGTCATGCCACTTTGCCGTTATTCGCGTACTTTCTGCGTCACTGGCGTTGGTATCATCTTGCCTTCTCATCATTCTCAGTGTTATATCTGCTATTTTATTGGACTGTGCCAGGTACGTACAAGCGCATATACGCACTCATACAAGAAACTTTCACTTAACTAATTAAAATCGTTCACACACATTTCAGAGTCGCCACGTTGGCTCTACACCACTGGTCGCATTGACCGCGCTGTACAAATACTTGAAACTGGCTGCAAGCGCAATAATATGCCCATCGATAACATACGTGCCGAGCTCGAACAGGCCGCACAAATGACAGCCGCCACACCGACATCGAAGAAGGGTAACATCATTGATCTTTTCCGCCATCCATATCTCTGTCAGAAAACCTTGGCAATGGCATTTAATTGGCTTGTTGCCTGCCTCGTCTACTATGGCGTCTCACAGTATATATCACACCTAAGCGGTGATATCTTTTTAAATGTCGCCATAGGCGCTACGCTGGGCGTGCCGGGCACACTCATATGCGTGCCGATGACCAAATATCTCGGGCGTCGCATCACGCTCTTCCTCTCAAATTCACTCAGCGGCATTGCTTTGATGATTTTGGCTTTTGCGCCATCGCTAAACAGCACCATGACTGTGGCAATGGCAACAATTGGTCTCTTTGGCGCGTCGGTAACATTTCCGAATGTTTATCTTTACGGTGGCGAGCTGTTTCCGACAGTTGTGCGTAATTCGGGTGTCGGTTTGTGTTCGTTTGTTGGTCGCGTTGGCTCAATCATTGCACCATTCATATCAGGCATGTCGACACGTGGTCTGTGGATACCACCAGCCGTGTTTGGCGGCTTTTCGCTAGCAGCAGCTGCTTCGGTCTTTCTCATGCCGGAGACACGCGGTTTTCCTCTGCCCGAGACTATCGAGGATGGCGAGACGTTCGGCAAAAATAAGGATGCGACGAATTTGTAAATAGATCCCTAGTAAATATTTGTTATTCAAACATTTCGTTGAGACATTTTATTGACTGTTTTAAATTACCATTACATACGGCTGTGTATATATGTTCGTGTGTGCAACTATTTATATGCAGGGAAATGTAAAACTTTACGATATTATAGCTGATTATAGTAAAAATTAGTGTAAATAAATAAAATTTATTAATTTTATCTAGATAAAAATATCTGTTTTGAATTAAAGGTTACATCTGATCACTTCCTTAGCATCCTACCATCAAACGCCAATCACAAGCTTAATTGAATTTCAATTCTACATAGCTAATTGCCAATACATTACAGAGAGAGAGTATTGTAAGAAAAAAAACACCATTTGGAATATTTTTAGTGTACTTGTTTGTACCTGACCACGTAACTTTTCTTCTTAAAGTTTTCTCAGACAAAAATGCTACGAAAAAAAAAATCTTCGAACAATTTAGAATTGTTAGCGAAGACATGACACCTAACTATCCACTCTGTCATTTTTTGTTGCAGAATATTTTAGCTGATATACTCTCTGTTTTCGTTGACAATTCTTAGTAAATCATATTTTTCACCTAAGTTGTTCAGCAACTCGCTAACGAAATAAAGATAACTTCTGTGAATAGCCTACAATCAGAGCATCACTGCTACAGATCATGTTTGGATTTACAGTCAGTTTGACTACAGTTACACTGAAATATTGCTTACTACTATTCAAATAATGCGTTTAGTAATAAAATTTCTTTCTTTCTATATCATGTTTGAGCTGACAAACGATCGCCTCTAAGCTTGGAGTATCTTTCATCTTTCTTCAACTCAAAATGTTTCTTACTTTCTGCGATAATCCAGATTTACTTTCATAGATTAGATTGTAGGTGCTTTACGACAATGCAGTGAACCGTTTTTGTATATAGACATACTTATATGTATATGCTGAAAGTCTAGTAAATGTTTGTAAGTAAATCTCAAAGTTGTTTAGATATTACAATACCAGTAGTTATGTGATTTTAACTACAAATAGTTAACGGTCATCATCAGTGCTGACTCCATTAAATAATGGAAAAATACACTTAATATCCGAAAATGGTCAAAAGTAGTCCAGAAAACAAATTCTGTAAAATAACTAACTGATCCGAAAAAAGTTCCAAAAAATACTAGAATAGTTTGAAACTAATACCAAATAACAGTCTTGTATCTTATTGTGGAGCTAAGTTATGGCGTTTTGTGGGCGTCTGTAATACCAACCGTCTTACGGTACCAAGAAACATGTGTACCAAGTTTCTTAAAGATATCTCAATTTTTACTCCAGTCACAGCTTGCAACTCGTCTCATCATCCTGATCATTTATATTTCATTATATTTATTATACTCGTATATAACCCTATATCTAACTCGATTAGTTTTAGGTGATACAAACAACCGTTAGGTGAACAAAACTATTATACTCTGTAGCAACATGTTGCAAGAGTTTAAAAACCGAGATTATGTTATCTATACAATAGCTAATACAAGTATGTCCATGTGCACAAACAAATGTGACATATTATTCTAAATACAAACTCTATTTGAGGAGCACACAACTGTCTGAAGTCAAGCCCTAGTTTTAAAAATATTCTGGTAATGAAATAAATAACAACTTTGTGACAGCCTCAAGTTGACGCTGTTAAATATGAGTGTATGAAAAAACATTTGTGTACCTTATTTAGGGTATATTGAATTTGTCAGTTTTTTTTTACCTTGTAATAAGAAAACTTTGACCTTTACACAATTTACCATATATTCTACTGAAATGTATAGATAATAAGCAAAATATAGATGTATACGATGTTGTTTATTAACAACAGATAAGCAGATTGATCTTTTTTCGTTTTTCATTGCTCAGAAGCCATTCAGGGATATATATTGTAGTTTTAGGTTGATTTTAAGATGAAGACCTCTTCCTTAAATGTTCATCGACATCAATTCACAAACGATATTTCATATCTGTTCATCCAACTATTTTCCCGTCTTTAACAGATTACAAACGACACAATTAACCCTCGTAGAGAAAAACAGCCGATTTGCTCTTATAATAAATAAAGTAACCGCAACTGCTCGAAGTTTTTTAATGTGCATGTAGATGTATAAATATTTATAGTATACTAGCAACTATATACATACCATCGTGTCCTGCTGTGTGGTTTAAATCTATCTGAGCGAAATTCGCTTTCTTCAATAAGTAGATTTTGCTTTATGCATTACAATGATGATGACAACTCTTTTTACGAATATTCACAACACAATTTGTGTTAATATTTTTATTTTCAATATTTTATAGATTTTACGAATTCAATTCAACTATTTTTTTTTTTAATGAGGTAACTATATTATCAAATATTTATAGCAGTAACACGTTTCCAGCTTTTTTGGTTTGATTTCACTAATTTTATCGATTCTATTAAACTATTTAATAATAATAATTTGTCAATTTTATTTGCTTATTTTTTAAACATGTGGCTACTCTCTTAAACATATTTTTAGTTGTTATTTGTAAGCTTTAATTAACCTGTTCAGTTTTCAGTATTTCTCTTATTAATTATTTTTTAACAGATGGCAACTCTCATCCAAAAATATTTGTTGCTGGAAACGTGAATAAAGCTCTTCCATTTTCAGTATTTCGTTATATTTTAATAATCCAATTTAAAAAAATGTAAACAGGTGGCAACCCTTCATTTCTTATTTGACTAGTTGTAAGGAATAACTCAAAAAATTATTCAAATCGCTTTAATTTTTACTATAATGATGAACGTGACGAACTTTGTTTGTCACGCATTTCCGTTGCCGTGCATCGATTTATTACAGAATTTAGGCACGGTTTAAAGTGATTTCACTACAAAAAGGCTGTAATGATATTTTTGATCATTGATTAGGTTAATACCATATTTGATATTACAAGCATTGTTGGTTTAAAATATCATATGTGGCTGCTTGTTGCTACCCTTTCACTTGCATTTATCATTCCAAGTTGCGGAGCAGAACTAATATATATCGACATTCATGTTATACAAATAAAGTGTTTGTTTTGTATATATGTTTGTGCTCATGTTGCATATTTCAGCGTTGTTCAACAAACATCGCAGGGCAGCGCGGTCACATGCTTTAATGTTGAATGTTGCAACAAAAAGCAAAAAACAGTAGCTTGGGCAGCACCGAAACTATAATACCCCTCACAGTTGCATTGCTTATATAATGAAAAGTTATAAAAAGATCTTTATCTTGATTTTGATCGAACAGTTTGAATAGTAGCTATATGCTATAGTGGTCCAGTCTAAACAATTTATTCGAAGTTCGAAGGGGGTAGCGCTGCCTTGGACAATAATCTGCGAAAAATTTCGTGAAGATACCTTGTCAAATAAGATAGTTTTCGATACAAGGACCTCTGTTTGAACGATCATTTATATATACATACAAGTATACTTTATAGGATCACCAAAGTCTCCTTCGAGGTGTTACAAACTTGATGGCAAACTTAATATACCTTGTATATTATATATGCAATAGTCAACCTTCACTGTTGACCATTCGAATATTTGCCATTTTATTCCCCATGCGTGTCAACAACAATTGCTAGTGACGCTGCTGCAGTTTAGGCCTAGTCTTTACTGTCAATAGTTTAAAATACGTTCATACATATCTACTTATTTGCTCACATTATTTTTGCGCGATATCAATAACTTGTATGGATATTTTCACAGTTGCAACATATGCATAACATAACATGTTATGTTTGTGTGCAAGTACATATGTAGTTGCAGCAGCTGCGGCAAGTACTTAATAAAAATCTAGATCGACCTCTGGGTGCGCAGCTGTCAACTTGATTAAGCCGAAAAATTCAAAACTACTAAAATAAACAGTTGATTAAAGCTGGAGCTGGTAAATTATTTGAACTTATGGAATTTACAAGATTATTGCAGTTATGCGTAAATCGTATTTTAATTGGCAACACGAAATATCAAAACACGTATTCGTAAGATCTAATTGTATAGATAGCTAATTTTAGTTAATTAATTATTTTTATTTTCAAAAGTGGTTTTGTACACATAAATACATTTAAACTACGACTATGTTATATAATAGAGAAGGTATATTTTGTAAAACTCGATAAAAAGAACAAAAAATAATTATTTTCGCTAAATAAACTCAGTAATTATGAAATAAAATTTATTAATTGTATGCATGTAAATATGTTGCTCCAATACTGCGATGATAGCTTTTGTTGTGGTCTCATTAATGTCTCATGAATGACTTGACCGATAATCAATGTGGTGCCCTGAACATCGAATGAATTTTTTCTGATAACATCGACTTTTCACAACAGCTAACCAAGAAAAGAATACTTAGTACGTCAAGTTGTAGAACCGATGTGGCGAATCGACAACGAGACGGCTGACAACACGGTTGTTGAGCTTGACATACGAAAGAACGGAGTTTGGGATGTTGCTATACACTCATAATGTCCTCAATTTCCAGCCACAGGATGCTATTTATATTAACCCTTTGAGGCTCTCCACTGACAAAAATGTAATAGTAGCACTCTAAGTGTGTTTTGGCTTCTCGATGATCTATTGGGAGTTCTCTAATCTTTAAGTCTTTCTAATGAAGATGAAAATTTATAGTATTTTGGTACACATACCACGTTGATTTCGAAGTACTATAAATAATCTATGAAAAATGCATCTTGTTAATAGTCGATACGAGGTCTTTGAGAGCAATGAGCAATTGACGAAAATCTTCAGTTGCTCGATTTTTCGGAACTTAATAGGATATGACGCGTTTCAATGCTTGACTCATGCCAATCGACTTAAATCTTTTGCAAAAACGAGTAATGAAGAAACCAAAATATATATTAATGAATAAATAAACACTTTCTTAAGAAATACAAAATTCGCGTTACATTTTAAACAAACCGCGTATTGCATTGTGTGTGTGTGTGTGTGTATACGTGTGTGAGTATAACAGTTTTAAATAGCTCAGAACTAAATAAAAATCGCTTTCGATATAAGTTGGCGCTGTTGAATTCTTTCGAATAGGCGAATAATGGAACGACGAAGCTGGAGAAACGGTTAACCTAATGGAGGTGCTCACACTCAACTAATTAAGGGCGTAATTCATTACTAGTAACTTAAAGTTGACATCCTCATTTTTATTTGGGGACAGAAAGCAATTATCTATATGTGTAGACGCTTCACGGACAGTAATTCAAATTAAGTTAGACAATTAACATATGTACTCAATTAAGATAGTGTTAAAATAGTCTTCAAATTGGACAAATAAGGGAAGTTGAGAAAGTAACTCTAGATGTCCTCAACTTATTATAATATTCAAAGAGACTCCTACAAGGTCAATTAATCAAACTTTAGAAATTCGTTCTCAATTTACAATAAAATTAAATTGTTATATAATTGACATTTAGTTGACAATAAATTTATGTAGAAGTAACGACGCAACGCTGTGTTTAAAATGAAAACGAAAAAAAAAACGAGCAAAATGTTGCAACACGAAGTTTACCGAGAGATATCTAATTCTCATGCACGTCCAATATTCGGTCGTTGAACACAATCTGTTCCGAAGAGCATATACCGCTTTTTTGATAGATAATACTGCTCTACAGTGGTTTTGTTGCCATAACTATAGAGTCAATTTCATTGGTTTTGTAAGATTTGCTCTCGTTTATTATAAAATTATTTTCATTTTACAATGAAAAAATCAGAAAACATCAAACCAAATAACCGATATATTTATAATGACAGAGATGGTTTTGAAAAATAGGGAAACATCGAAGTAAGCAGAGATACAAATCTCTAAAATATATGTTATATTTCAATAAAACGTCTTTCTTTTATAATTTTCCAGTTGACAATCTCTTTTTTTAAGAACCAGCAGTAAACTGCCATCATGTAAAGTTGTCATCAACCTGGACACCTTCCTCTCATTACTTTCAGATCCTAGTCGAACAGCTCTTCTTATTACTCATTTTAATTTCCTAAATTCTTCGAAAGTTTATCCAGATGATTGCGAAGATAGTCTATCAAGTTAGAGTCAAATTTGCTCCTAAAATCTGAAAGTTTGTCAATTTTTGTCTTCAAAAGTTGATGTTTTATGATTTCTTAGGAAATTGCGGCGTAACTTTTCATCAATAAAAATATTCGGTTTAATTGCCATATTCTGCGTTGTTGTTTTCGAAAACATATTTATTTTAGTAAAAAAATATTTTTACAAAATATTGTGCTTTCTATTTGAATTCCATTTATGCTCAATTAAGCAAGTGAATTGTTGGATTTGAAACGATAGAGGTGTGAATTTGGATATATGTATATGTAGATAATTAGTGAATCATTGTATATTCTTCATAACCTTCAAATATAATTCTTACAAATGGCAAATATTATAAATACCGGTTTCACCGAAAAAATGGGTAAAGCTGTTCAAAAGCAAACAAAGAAGCGTTAATTACTTTGTTTCAGCTTATCTAAGTAAAATGTGTGTACTGTGGGATCCGCTTAATGGCCTCCCATTAAATAAAGTTAGCACAAGAAATCGATATAAGTATGGTATATACAAAACTAATCAACAAATGTTTTTATTCTTTAATTTTTTTAACATTTGATCTTTAAAATGAATAAATCATCTTCATAATTTCACAGCTAAAGCTTTTGATACCTCTACATAACCTCATCTAATGCTATGACTTAAAAGTGGACAAACCCGCAAAAAACAAAAACGCGCCAACCTCTCACATAATGAAAACCCTAAAGAGGTAATATTAAGTTTAATTTTTTTATTTCACCTGCTGGTTTGGCGCGAAACCGAATATTTCTCGACAACACTGTATATGAGTTCATCTCGTTGAGATGTCTGCTGCATGCCGGCAGAGTGCCACCGAGAATGTGGCGTGTGTGTTGACATTATTCATAACTTGGACAACGTTATCTGTTGTTATTGCAAAGGCTATTGTAAAGCAAACAAACATGCGCACAACAACAACGACTACACAGAGAGAAAACAGAATTCATTAGTTATATTTAAGCGGCATATGTAAGGTGTACTGGCACGAATCTAACTTCAAGTGTGTGTGTGTTTGAGGGCGTACGTTTGTGCAAATTAGCCGCGTTTGTGTTACATACATACACACACATACAATATATATATATATATATATATATGTATGTATATTTGAATATAATTCGCCACAGTGTAAGCAGTTTAGTAAGCGTTTTGCTGTCCAGCGCAAGTGTCCCCCACAGCGACAACGTTCCCGGCAAGTAGCAGCCGCCGACGCCAGCGTTACAGCGGCAGTAGCAGCACAGCTGTTATGGCTACACTTTTGGTTTGGTTTAGTTTGCTTTCGTTACGATTATGACGCTTGACGCTTGACGCTTGGCATTTTCGCTCGTAAATATGCTCGTTGGCCGGTGAATGCGCACAGAATTCGCAACGCTACGGACGGTGACGGACCCCGAATCGATCGAATGTGATCTTAGGATAGCAACGATATCTGTATCACCACTCCATCAATACCTTCGGACTCGCACATACATGTCTACATATACGTGAAAACAATTGTGTTCGCTACGTAGAACAGTTAGTAGGTGCAACTAGTGCCGTTCGTTGATTTTCGGTTTCGATTTCAGTTTTCCAGCGGCAGTTTGGCGCGTAAAAAATCGAGAGACCAGTTGTGTATTTATTGCAAAAAACATATGAATTAAAAAATCACAAAAAAATCTAATATCAAAAAAAAAAAAAATTTATATTATTTCTAAAGAAAGCGTAAATCATTAACAAAAAATAAAAACTAAAATATCTATACAGTATCAAAAAAAAAAATAAAATCAACAACAAAAATAGTAAAAAAACATAATAATAACAAAAACAAAAGTATTAATAGAAAATCAAAACAAAAATTATAAAAAAACCAACAAAAAAAAATAATAATAATTCAATCAAAAATAACTCAAGCGCGCGTGTGTGATATAAAAATAGCAACATATTAAAATTATTTCAATATCTTATCAGTATTGTGTTATTTAAAAAGTAGTCAAAAGTTAAAGGTTTAACAAACGCCACTTAATCGGCGGGAAGTTGATTAAACTTTTTAGAGAGGCCTTTTATGACGACAATTCCAGCGCTGAAGCTAATCAAACTAATGAGCTGAGAACAGTAAATAATAGCAAACGTTAACAAACTAACAATTTGTAGCTTCCAACACTAACAAAAACCAATAGGTAACAACAACAAAGTGTGTAATATTATGTAAATACAGAGAGTATGTATAATTTAAGAGTGCAAGTGCAAAGCCATTGAAGGCCACATATATCATATCAATATGTATACAAAATTTAGCGCTAGCGAGCCTCCAAAGGTTCAGCGGCAATACGAAATAGTTACATTAGGCCTGTGTTTTCGTAAGCGGGTGGCAAGCAAATGCTAAACTCTGATATAAAAATGCTCGAAAGGCGTTTAACCCTGGTAGCATCGCAGATGTCCAACAGAAGCTTCGCTTTGTTTGTTAGTGGAAATTTGAGATATTGTTTGAAATTGAATTTCTTGTTGCTCTACGTGTGCTTTTTGTTAGTGAGTATATTTTGCTTAAAATCATAACTATAGAAAAACAAACTTACAATATGCGTCTTGTTTTTATTGCCATAATTTCGTTTGAAAATCTCGTTACTAATTGGCATGGATTTTTGCGATATCATTTAGAAAACTTTCTTAAAAGAATATTGCTGAAGTATATTTTGCTGACAAAATTAAAGACATCTTCCTTGCGATCTTCAGTATTTTTCAATATTATTCAAAAGAAAACAGGAATGGAGATAATCGTAACACTTTTTTCATGAAATTTCACTATAAAATATTTCTCAACTTTCATTTTTAGTCGAAGTTAACAATTTTTAAGTAAAATATGTCAATAAGAAAAGCGTGAAAACACATGAAAAATCTTTAAGGGGGTATTCTAGTCTAGAGACATGAATTTGAATAATTTTTAAATTGTCGTAAAAAAGGCAATTAATATTTTCACTATCGATTTTTTTATCAGTTTATTCATGCTACAGGAGTAAAGAAAAAAATTTAAAAGAAATTAAAAATTTAAAAAACTGCCAGCTGATGAAGTGGGCGGTCTCAAAAAATTTGCACATGAGCATACCCATGATTGCAATTAAAAAAAGAAAGATTATCAATTTGCAATTATGTTGCAATTGAATGAAGTAGCTTGAAGCAAAAAATTCTTTTTTGGCAAAATGACTACTGTTTAAAAAAAAACCTTTTTGTTTACCATTTTTTTATTTTCTCGTATTTTTTTTAAATAGTAAATAATAAATAGGAAGGATGAGGCTAGTTCATACTCGAGAGAAGTCTATAAAGAAGATTATCTAAAAATTTCAAGTAAATCGGTTCAGTAGAACTCTAGAAATCGTGGGTATCGTATTGGAAAAGTCTGGTCTGTGAAAAGCGTATTTAAAGTTTCGCATAAAGTCTTTTCTTCAATTAGACGCAACCGAACCAGATTGGAGGCCGGGTCAGTAAAATCTCTATTTCTCCGAAAATATTTAAATTTTCAAAAATTCTTTCGTATATGTACATATTTTTAAATAGTTAAACTTTGAAAATGTGAAAAAAAATTTGATTTTTTAAAATTCTACACTCCCTTAAGTGCAACTATCCAATATTCTATTCTAAGTTAAATATCTTTTTGAAAGTGAAGTACTTTATCTATACTAATATTATAAAGAGAAAATATTTGACTGTTTGTTCGTTTGAATTGAATAGGCTCCGAAACTCCTTAACGGCTTTGAAAAATTCTTTCACACTCCGCTAAACATATATATAATAATATTATTTAGTAATTGAGAAATAAATGAGAGATAATTGAGAAATAAATGAGGTTGAAAACCTGCGAAGGCTTGCCTTTATAGTTCAGCAATATAAACAAGTTTCAGCCTTTTCATAGGATGTGAGATTGCCACTTGTTCTTATTTCTTTTGACTTAAACTCAGTAACAATTGAAATTTTAAAGCACCAGTTATAAGATTAGAATAAAAGTTTGGTTTTTAAAGAGTTTGGTAGAAAAAGTTCAGATTGAGCTTTACGAATTTTGGTAGGCCCTCGAATATATTAGAGAGAAGTATGACTTAGAAACTTTTGACGTAGGTACTTTTAGACATTATAAACTACAACAAGTTTATGAAAAATGTTCTTAATCTAACCAAGAAATGTATACTACTGTGATCAAAAAGTAAGGTGAAATTGTTTATAAAATGTAAATTATTTATTTATTCTACCAAATCAAAGTAATCCCCGTCCGATAAAATGCAGCTTGGCCAACTCTTTTTCCAGTTCTCGAAACTGTCGGAATAGTCCTTTTCCTTTATAGCCTTTAAGAGCTTATTCAATTCGATTTGTATTTCCTCAATCGTATCAAAATGGCATCCCCACATTGGCCTTTGAGTCGGCTGAATAGGTAGAAGGCGCACAAAGCTATCAGGCGAATACGGTGGCTGAGAAACGATATAAGTGGAATTTTTGGAAAAAAAATCGCACAGAACGAATGCAATATGACAAGGTGCATTATCGTGATGAAGGTAACAATCGAAACCTTACTCGTCTGAGACACAAAACCTTCTTAAAAATGGTTTGGGCTGAGACAAATTATATTCCAACAGTTTTAGCAAGGTCTGCAATTATCAATGGACGATTTTCAAGCACCAAATCTTTGATTGTTTGGACGTGGCTCGTCGGTTGAGGTTGATGGTCGTCCAGAGCGCGGTCTTCTCAACTCGCTTTGAACTCATTGTGTCACTTATAAACGTTTTTTAGTGCCATAATTTGATTACCAAAGGCCTTACGCCACTTTTTCAATGTGCCCGCACAAGAATATTCGTTCCCCAGACAAAATTTGATGCAAGATATTTGCTTAACCAAATCGTCAGTTGTATAAATCGAAAAATTCTCTTTTGGTTGTTTGCAAAAATACGTGGAACTCGGTGATAATTAAATTTTTTGACAAACAGAGGTTTTGAAAATGTTATAGATAGTCCTAACAACCTAGAAAAAAATTACCTGCCTTCCTGATGCGCAGAACTTTTAAATGACAATTTCACCTTACTTTTTCATTACTGTAGTGTGCTTCTGTAAAGCACGACTAGAAAGTAGCTCAGTATAAGAAATTTGTGAATACTTGTATGTAAAATATAAAATAAAAACTACTAATACAATTATGTTAGATTTTGGTCTCTAAAAACTTTAGCTCAACTACCAGTACTATTGGTCCTTATGTAATCTTTCTCCCTCAATACCGTAGCCTAACTGTTTATGGCCAATCGCAATTATATTTATATAAATGAAATGAATAGTTTCTACTGATAAAATACCCATTGAAAGAAATTTAGAGATGTTCGCACCCTCCAGTTTCTACTCTTACATGTACTGATGTCGGTGGACGACACTTTAAGCTAAACAAAAAATCTCATTGTTATTTAGAGAATGCAAAGATCGTCTACCTAATTGCATCTTGCTTAAGTTTTATGTTAAGATCGTGTTTTTGAAATACTTTAAGAGCATAAAAAAGTGGACAATAACAACAACAGTAATAGAAAAACAATTGATTTAAATATTTGCGTCAACATGTGCTACAACAATACAAAAACTCAATTATTAGTTGATAATTAGTTTTGTGAAATATATATGTGAACACGTACATATGTTAGTTTAATAAGCATGTCTAAAGTTAGCAAATAATTGCAAACAAGTAAGAAAGGGCTAAGTGTAACAATTCTCGAACATTTTATACTCAAGCAAATTTTTAAAAATCAAAGTGCATATTTTCTGGTCTTTGCTGATTTTATTCGTATTCAGCGCTAAAGAAGTATCTCCACTTAATTTCATTAAAATTTCACACATACCATACTTAAAAAACATAAATGGTTTGAAAACAGCTGGAAAACGGACTATATCGAGATCTGGACTGTTTGGATTTACTGTAGACATCTATAAAGTATGCTCGAGAATATATTTCCTCATTTCTTGAAGATACTCACACTGCTAGCGTTACGAAAATTATGATATGAAGGATATGGGTCCTGGAATAATTCGAGGACCGATTTCACACATTTTCGGACATCTTATTGTACATATTTACCGATATATACGGTATGAAGCCAACTGCGAACTTGAAACTAGATATATGGAGGGTAAAAGTAGTGTTTCTCCACTTTTATACATTTTTGGTGTCAGAGCATATTATTACCAGAAACATGTAAGGAATGGTTAAGTTCGGGTGTAAACCAACATTTCATACTCTTGCAACTTGCCTTATCAAAGCCGGGAAAATACCTTCAGGGTTGGCAAAACTTTATATTAAAAAATGCTACGAAAGAACTCAACATTCAGTGTTCGACGAAATCGTGAGTGAATCACAATCAAATTTGTAACCTATTAACTTATATCATAGGCCATAGACTAAATTTGTTTTATAACCATATTTTGCTTCCCGTCAGAGAAAATGTCATTACAATTATTCTCAAATAAGACATATCTGGCATAAACTAAATCGAAGAGGCTAATTTTAATATTATATATTGAGATGATATGCAAAACGTTAAACAGAGAATCGAAATTCACTACATTAGGGATATGAGGTTTGAGCCAAGTTCTAAGCTAATTTTATTCATATTAAGCGCTAAGTCACCTAATTTTTAAGAAAACTTGTCCATTTAATTTCAATAAAATATCACACATTTTGACCAATCTAAACTGCTTAAAGATAGGTTGGATGTCAGCAATCACTATATTGGTTATATTGGGAACAGAAAAGGTCTGTGCTGACTGATTTTTTTATTAGGTATATGGGGCTTGGTTTTGCCCTAATATTATCAAAAAAAGATTATTTCAGGCAATTTGACTCATTTTCCAAACGATTTGAGGAGGTGACAAAATAAAAATAAGTTTTACTCAAATTATCGCTTGAACAGCTACACAGTCGGTCAGACAGACAGTTATTTTGAATCCTGATCATTTATATATGCATATATATATAACTCTATAGTTATCTCGCGTGCTCAACTAATATTATATTTTCTTTTAATAATTTAAAAATTTTTTTTAGTCTTTTTTACTATACGTTCCTTTTAATGAATTCAAATTGTTTTAAACTTCTAATTAGACAAGATTATTTAGTTGAAATTATTTTAGCAATGCCAAAGTATTTACCAAAGAAAAAATTATATTAATTAATTAAACACATTCTGCAATTTAGTTTAAAGTTTTCAAAATATTTTTTGCAACTGTTGCCTACAATAATTGCGCACAAACACACGCAGAAATCTTAAACAACTAACGCGGCGCCTCATTCACCGATATTGTACGGCAGCACTGCCTAGAGCAATGCATCTACGCTAGCAGTTGCAGCGAGTGAGTTTGCTGACTGCAGTTGATGAGGCAGAACGGATGTAACGAATTAACGCCTACGCACTGTTTTTTATAAACCAATGACGACAACGACGAGACAGGTACTGAGACATTGGCTAAACTGAATGAGTTGTTGCCTCAGACACATGCATATATACATACCAAATGTATCTATATATATTATATTTATATCCATATATACTGTGATAGACGTCACTGGTTGTATCAAAAACAAAACCAAATTGCGGCAGTGTGCCAACCGAGTTCATTGCATTGGCGTGGGAAATGGGAACGCTGAGTTATTAATTAGTGATATAAAATATCTCATTTCAAGTTACAAAAAAACAAAAAACATTATAATAATATTTAGCTTTAAAGAGATGAAAGAAAAATGATTTTAGAAAAATAAATAGCATTCGAAAAGTTTTAATTGGTATCAATATACCAAAATATATCGAAATTTTTGATAAATGATTACGTTTTGGAGCAAAAGTTTTTTTTTTATCAATAAATCTTTTTAAATATTAAAGTTTAAGTTGATGAAATGGCAGTCGGCCACAACACCGGAGTTCGTTACAAAGACCAGGAAAATCGAGGATTAAAATCGCAACGCCGGCATAATGAAAAGTCATTCAAAAATTCCCAAATGGCGTTTACTCTCTAACTGACAATTTCGAAAAGCTTATTTCGAAGTTCATCAGTGGTTAAGTTCATCAGTATATAAGATACTTTTTGTATGTAAATACACATTTATTTTAACTCGCTTTATCTTCCAAATGATTTTATAGTCCCATAAGCAATACTCCGTGCTGGACTTTTAAGACATATTTTCAATAGGAGAAATACAATGAATGTTTCAGGACTCTTATAATAATTTTATGAAAAAAAGTGTTTATAATTTAAAGCAGACATTCGCCTAGGTATAAATCTATCATAAATCGTAAGAGACCATTTTTTAGAGCATTCAACTTCCTACAAAATCCATGAAATGGAATATTTTGTCAAGTAGTTTGAAGCGAGGTATGAATTCCTCTATTTGATATTAAGAAAAAATAGAAAACTATAAGGCGGAGGATTCTCTCGTTATAATTAAGTGCTCATACTAAGAGAAACTTCCTTAGAGACGTCTATCAATTAATTTTTCATAGCGAAAACAAAACATTCAATTAAGTAATTATCTAAAAATATGGTTGACGCACATTATTAGATGATATTTCCATCAATGTATAAGAAAACATAAACTAAACTCTGACGTTCAAATGGGAGACTTGGTTTAGAAGTGATGGTGAAGACATTGCCTACCAATGTGGAACATTTTGTGTATATGCAATATTAATGCTTATTCGAAACACGCGTCATTTGAATTTTAATTTAAATAATATAAAGAGTAAATTAAAAACTAATTGTAACCCCTTTTAAGAAGTCCTGTCCCTTAATATGAATAAAATGCGCAAATGCCGCCCGCATTTATTTACGTAGTATTATACCATATTTATGTATATTAGGGTGACACTTAAAGTATTCATATTTGTAGAGTAAAAGGAATTTTTTTTTGCTTTATCAAAGCTTTTTTGTGTCGCAAAACTCAAAGCTTTAGCAGTACGAAAACGGCGAAAGCGTTCATTTTTCGTAAGCGACAAAATTCTACTCTCAAAGCGATTCACAATAGCCAAATATACGACAAAAGAAACTTAATAGGTAGTTTTTGACACCCGACGATGTCTTCAGTCTCGTTCAGTTCAGTTCGTTCCATAAGTTTACGTGATCTTTTTTAATAATATCGAAGATGATTGATGAATTTTTTATACTCTGGTAAAGAAAATTTACAAATCCCCAACATTTCGGTATTGTTTCTCAACAATATTTTAATTCGGTATTTTGGAATTTTTCTGGATTCTTTTCTATATTTACTTGTAGTTAATTTAGAAATACTTGAACATTTTATTTTAGTTCGGTATTCTGGACTTTCAAAGAATATTCTCCTATAATTTCGTAAAGTAAATTTACAAATTCCGAAAATCTCGTTATTATTCATCGATATTTATTTGAAAAATTGTATTTTATCTTTTTATAAAAATAATATTTTATATAATAATATTAGGCCATAAGGAGTGTATAAAATGTCTTCACATCATATATAATATGTATCATCATCCTACGTGAGTGGTGTACCCACTAAAACACTCTCCCCTTCTATCATGGATTTTCCCTTGCCCCGAGACCGCTTTCGCATTACTTCAGTTCAAGCTTTCCAAAATGGATTATTTGCCCCTCACTACGTTCACGGATACTTACTATTTTTAGCCATTATCAAGCTATTCTCCGAGGTCGAATCGTAGACATATCCCTTTTTAGTGCGTAGTAGGATGCCACATACGAGGCAATTCGCTGTCAATTTTCGCCGCTTGCTATTATTTTTTTCTATTAGATTTTCCGTATTTAATTGTCCAAGCTTAATTTCTAATGTGCTTATCATCACCGATGACACTTTAAAAAGATATAGTTTACATGGTTTTTTTAAATACCTGCAGGACTGTTTTTCGCATGTTGTACAGTTATTTTCGGAAATACCTGTGACCGTCGTATATGGCATTCCATAGATCTGGCTCAAGAATGGATGCCTGTGTTATTTCAGAGGTGATTGCCTTTTTTTCATGGTCGTCGTTTGTATGCTTCTTTGGGTCCATTATGGTGAAAACATTTCAGCTGCAAAAGCCAAAAGTTGTTAAGCAAGAATTTTCAGAAATATTGCCGCTAATTATATTAAATTTAAAAACATTAAAATTAAAAAAAAAAAATTCCAGAACCAATTTTTTTTAATTCTAGTTTAATTTTTTTTTTTATAGTAACACCCTAATGCCATGCTTGCTATGAATTAATAATTCTTCAACGTAAAAAAAATATAAAAAAACTGAGTATAAAAATACATGAAAATAAGATATTATGCAAATGAAATAACAACGTCAGCAGCGCCTTTTGTGAATGAATGAATTAATAGACAGCAACACGTTCTAAATATTGCAGTCGCTACTTGTAAACGTTCATACATACATATACATATGTATGTTATGTCAAATAGAAAATCAAACAACAAAGCAAAATAGCGCAAAACTTTGTCGGCAGCCACTTTGCATGCAACGCACTTATCGAAAAACAACAACAACTACACACAACAAACAACATTGCAGTTCATTAACGAATTTCATGTGTTATTCTATAAATTCTTGTCGCTGTCATATTGTCAACTTGTCGCACTGCAGCATATACAAATGTATGTGTTTACGATCACTAATCCTTGATATGTGCGAAATAACGCACGTGTTGCATACGAAATAAAATAAAAAATTCAAACGAACGCAAATAATTATGCGAGTGCAGCGAAACATAAATCAATCGAATCAAAAATAAAAACAACAACAACAAAACCTTCGATATGAATTTTAATGAAGTGCAATAATTTAGGCGCCACTTGCGCTGATTAGTAGTGATATTAAGCGTATAATCGCATTTAAAGCGTCGTAATTGAAAGGTTCGCACAAACAAACACACATCACTCGGCTGAAAAAGTCTGCGTACACGCTTTTGCCTTATTTTCTTTTGTTAAAAAATATAAATTTTAGAATCAAATCACATTAAGTGCTTTATTACTATTCTATTGTATAATCCCATTAAATTTAAAGCACTGAAAATCTTATACCATGTTTTTGTTGATAAATTTACACAAACTTGTCATTTCGCAGCGCAGCAAAAGTCTGCGTACATTTGGTAAACTGGGAATGTTTCGTGTAAAAACCAAGAGTAAAAATATAAGTTATAAAGAGTTTTATTTGTGTTCGTTAAAGTAGCAACTTTAAACGATTTTTGTTTTATTCAGTTTTTTATTAAATTTAGAATATCGAAGTTCGCCTAAAAGAAAACAAAAGAAGAAGAAAAACCATGCCCTAAAATCTATCGAATTATTATAGGAACACATTCTTCCATAAAGAGAATAATAAACAATTACAAACATACCGGCTTTTTTTTATTTCGGCCCGTCCAGAGCCGCCAAATATACTAGCCTAGCATGAAACACGTAACCATGTGACAGAAAATATGAAGCAAAACCCTCAACTTACTGTACCCAAAATCGCTCAAAAGTAAAAAAAAAAAAACTTTAAGAAAACCCTCTGCACTGACACAATTCACAAAATTAAAAAAGTAGGGTTTAATGAAGAAGTCGCACACAGGAAGTCATTCATTTCGTCAATCAATAGGCAAATGCATAATGCTTTCGCAAAAGAGCACTTGCAGAGCAAGCCCTGGGAGTTTTGGCAGAATGTTTTTTTGTCCGATGAAAATAAGTTTTGGGTCTTTGGAATCAAAGGCCGTAAGATTTTATGCCGAAAAACGCGCAAGGCACTCGATAAGATACTTGATGCACACTGTGAACCAAGGTGATGAAAAAGTAATGATATGGGAGTGCATAGCTAGTAATGGTGTGGGCCGTATGGAAGTTGCAGAGTCCACCATGGACAAATATGCATATCTTAATATCTTGAAAATAAATTTGAAATAAAGAACAGAAGAATTGTGTCTTGGAAGTGATTACAGTTCTACAAGTACAGGATAACAAACGAGGCATACAGCATAGATATAGTTAAGCTTTGGTTACTCTACAACGCTTCCAAGCAGTTTCAAACACCACCAGAATCACCAGATTTTAATCCTAAATAGCGATTATGAGGTTCACTGAAACGTAAAATTCGCCAACGCACAATTACCTCAAAGGATATGCTCATGGATGTGCTGCACGAGGAATGGGCTCACATCCCTTCGACAGAAACCTCTAAGCTTGTGGCCAAAACCATTAGTAGAAGTTTTAAAATGTTGGCGATATCTGACTTCCTATTAAATGTTAAGAAGAATTCTTAGGAAGAATAACTATATTCGACTTATGTACCTTGTACGCAGACTTTTTCTAATGAATTTTTTATTCGTCAACGTGTTTTGCTTTGTTTATATGTTATTGCAGGAAATTTAATCACTTTTATTTTCATAAAACTAAATATTTATTATCCTTCAATAAATATCAAATAAATTGGTTTTATAAAAAGTATATTCTTGTAAAATTATTTTTTCCAACGATTTAGTTTTGTTGGTACCTTGTGCGCAGACTTTTTCTGCTTAGTGTATACATAAAAGAGTAATTAGTGTACGTATTTGCGGGTGTGTATAAATATATTAAATGTGTAATTAGCAAAAGTGTAAACAAATTAATTTCAGTTTGTTTTTTCAATAACGAAATTGCAGAAAAATGCCGAAGGAACGCAACTTCAAGGTTTCCGAGTCTAGTGAACGGCAAGAGTTACTAAATTTCCCGGTCAATGCGCAGATAGTGCAACGTCGAACTAACTATGGCAAGCTGTATGTGTCATTACCGCTCTCTGAAGGGGTCCCCGGGAAGAATGTTTCTACGGCGGACGGGATTTTGGAGGAACCGCTGCCGTTGCAAGAGTTGCCAGCAGTTGATGAAGGTTAGTACAAAATAAATATTAACAGTTAAAGTTTAATAATATCTGACATTCTCGCATAAATATGAAAAAGCAAACATAAAGGGTTTACGTCGGCGGCACCGAATCTATAATTCACAAATAAAAAGTTTTCCATACAAGAACTGAAATTTGATGTTTCAGTTTGTTTGGCAGCTATATGCTATAGTTGTCCGATATCGGTTATCGGTTCCGATAAATAAAACTCCTTCGAGAGAAAAAAAGGGCTTGAGCAAAATCTAAGACCGATATCTCGAAACCTGAGGGACTATTTGGTGTATATACTGACAGAGAGATGTACAGACGGACAAATCTACATTCGGTGCCTTCTAGCAGCTCACAGATTGTGTATGGATACCGAATGATTAAAAGATATATGAAAAAAATAAAAAAGAAAGAGATAGAGATAGAGAGAGAGTTCTAAGAGAAAAGAAAGAGTAAGAGATAGTCAGAAAGACCAATATTGCCTTGCTTAGAAACTCATAAGAAGTAAGCTAGAGAGAGATTTTGAATTTCTGTGAAAACATTTTACGTTCATATCAAAGTATATTTTAAACCTTAGTAAATATCATACATTAAAAAGTATTGATTAATTTCTGTAATCTATAGAAATTTTTTGACTTCCGAGTTTTTTGTGTTCACATGCAGGTTGCGCGTCATTCCAAGTAGCATATGTGTTATCTACAGTCATTTTTATAATATCTTGCTAAAATGTGTGAAAGAAATCCCTACTTTTTTTATTATTTTATTCGGTAAAAAGGAGAAAAGGGGATCTCCTTGTAAATTGGTAGAATTAGATTTTCTTGAAAAACAGTAATAATTACTAAATGTTTTCGTTCAGTTAAAGAGTAGCTCATTGAGTGTTACTTACCGTAAATCTCACTATTTTCAAATACAGATACAGTGTTCTATTCATTCAGTATCACTATCCATCAATAGGTTTTTGTTGTTGTAAAATTCGAACATTCTGTCGTTGATCGCTTTTATAAATCCGATCCATCTTAAGACAAGCGAATTTGAATTACAAGATAGCCTCAAAAGAACTTATTTTAATATAATATATGTAAATCTAATTAACATATCTCTCAATGAGTTTAATCTTATTTGCTTAAAGACCATTTTCATATGTTCTTTCACCCATGAAATACCTAACATTACAAGTTGAGTATATCAAAAGCTTAAAAAGATAAAAATTTTATTTCTCAGCTGTTTTGTCAATTGTAACTAAGAAACTGGTTAGTATTCTAAGAAGCGCTCATGTGTAACCCTTACTATATTAAAAACATAATAGTACCCAAAGCAGGCGTTGTAATTGTAAATACATTTTATATTTATTTATTTAATTTTTTATTTATTTTAGAGCAGAACTTTAACTATCTCAATTGGTTTACCCACTTATTCATTTATGCTTTTATTTGTTTTAGGTATTGTAAGGCCAATAAATATAAGACGCTCATATGCATCATCACTGATATATGTATGTGTATTGTGTATGTTGGTTTTTTATGTGAAAATTGTGGCTTACTTATTTAGTTAAAATTAATCACATTTGACAGTCAGCACTCAGCAGCTGGCAATCAGCCGCCAAGAAAATTGCTCAGAGAGTGTGAAATGTCGCGGCGTGCTGTTGATTTCTACGGCTCACTGAATGACTAACTAACTGACAGTACTGTCACTTTGTTGACAGATATGTTATTCCGAGTAAGTGACCCATTTTCACGCATTTGGCATACATCATCTTTCTTGATTGAAACCATAAATATCAGGAGGTAATATGAAAGATGTGATGGACTATAGAAACCGCTTTGATTTGCAGAAATTATTTAAAATATCGCTATGTTTGTGGCAGAACATTAATTTTACTTGTTTATTTACAAGTGTATTGTTTAATCATATTACTTGTGGTATTTAAATAGGTATTGTTACATTGGGTCATTATATAAAATGTTTAAGTATAAATAAGAAGAATATATAATATTTGGTTGATATTCTCTTCGCTTCTGACGTATAAGGCGATTCTTCGCATTCTGTTATTCTAGAGAGGTGCACCATTACCTTTGAAATAATAATTACGAATTTAGAGAATATTACTATGTATATTTGCTTTTTAAATTTCCATATGTTTATTTATGTGAAATATTATATATGAGCTTTACTTCGATAACTTTGGCTCAAACGACGTTTTACAATATAGAAATATTTTCGACATAATGTATACTAAGATTATAAAGAGGAAATATTTGACTGTTTGTTTGCTGAATTAAGTAGGCTCCGAGACTACTTGGCGGATTTGAAAAATTCTTTCATCTTTGGGAAGCTACATTCGTTCCGGTGAACATAGGCTATATTATTAATAAGTTAGGCATCCTTACTAAAACGCCAATAATGCAATCATTTTTTTTTTTGAATTATTTTATTAAAATTTAATTATTTCATATACAAGACTGATTCAATACCTCTATACAAAATTTTGAGTTATTCGATTTGGACATTCCATTACAAAGCTCGGCTAGGCTGAAACATATGGTAATATGCGATGTAGGCGTCATTGGGCCACGGGAGGGGAGTTATTGTCATGAAATAAAATGCAGCGCGGCTCACTTGCCCAGGTGGTCCACTACGAAGAGTTCGTTTGCGGATTTGAATATAAATTATATTAAAAATTCGATGTTCACATCTGCTAGAATTATATAATTATAGACAGAACACTTTTTAAAAAAATTTAGACGTTTCGGGAGCAGATCCAATTTCGATAGATTATTTATTTAGACCTTGACCCGACCTTGTGATTGAACTCGATTTAAGCTGGCAATGCGACCGAGAAAAGGAAACCCACGAGAAACTGAACATATTGTTTCCATTCCCCAGTAGAGAAGATTGGACCAATGGTTCTGTGATCAACAGTTCCAACGGCGAAATATATATATTCACTGAGGGATCAAATTCTCAACGTCCGATGTGTTCTACGTGAGTATCTGCCGTCGACGACGTTACCTCACCGTGCTCCAAAGCACAACGTATCAAAACAATGCGTTGATAAGCGCCCCAAATAATACGAGCTTTTTGCAAGTATTAATTTGGTTACCAGTGGCCAGTATGTAGGGGCACACCGACCATCTTGGTAGGATTCGAGACCAGCCTAAAACCTCTTCCATTTTCAGGTACGGAACCCAGTTGCATGTGCAACTTCTTTTTTGAACTGAAAATTCAATTCGTGGTACCAGAGTTGAGTCTCCGGTAAGACTGTGTAGCCAAAGCTACTGCCAATTGAGCTCCGCCTTACTCAATGACTGGTGACATTTGTCGCTTAAACTTCAAATGTCTTTTTATTTGGAATCTCCTTTAAAGTCTATAATATCAGTTCAAGCTGAGTATTATAGCACTATTTCTGACATCGTTTACTATGCTGATATTCTGGGCAAAATAAAATAACAGTCATAGTGCATTTGGCTTTTAGTCGCCTTTTACGACAGGCATGCCTTACCTTTACCTACCCGCATGGGGAGATTAAAGGGTCAGTCAGGAACAGGAGCGGGCTTCTTCTGTAGTAATCGATGGCATAAGGCGGTTTCAAATTAAATGACTACAATTCAGTCTTTCAGGCCGAAATTGTGGGCATAACAGAAGGTGCCAAGTGGGTTTCTGCTCTAACCAGCCTAGTCTAATTGCGTTATGTTATGCAAGTAGCCAATAGCTAGACTTTCAGTAGGTAACTCGATTACTATCATCTGGGTGCCTGTTCATAGAGGAATAGAAGGAAATGAAAAGGCAGACGCGATGGCCCGTTCGGGGGCAACTGGTGACACAATTCCCCTAAGCTGCCACAGACCATTCTGCTCCTTCAAACGTTGTGTGAAGCAATGGACCCTAGAGGAAGGCCTCAGGTCTTGGAACACAAGCAACACAGCGCATACCACAATGTTACTTTAGGGCAAAAGGGGGCTTAGTAATATTGTAGGTGTCATCACAGGGAACCTACCCTAAGATTTCACCCTCAGAAAATGGGAAAAGTGGATTAGGCGGAATGTAGGGTATGAGACGCTGGCGGCTGGTTCGGCGCTCAGGCCGCTCTCCTTTCAACCAACCAACCATTTTTTTATGAATTACTCTGAGGACGTTGACATTAAAGTTGTGGAAATGATAAAAATAATATTTAATTGAATTTAATTGGTAAAAAACTCAAGAACATTCTAACGAATGGAAAAAAAATGTCAAAAAATGTCAAAAAATGGGGAAGCTAGGTTCACTTCCATGACAGTCGTGTTCTCATAACAGAAACGAAACAGTAATGCCGAAAACTATTTAGCAAATGTTTTGGCCGCTACAATAACAAGAATATTACAATAAATATTTACATTGAGAGTTCATGAGCTATTAAGCTTAAGTAATTAAAGAAACTTCGAAAAAAGTTATAGGTTTGAGGCAACTTTAAATGATGTTATGGAGCTTTTCGGAAAAAAAGTTTTAGAATACTGTATGAAGTAACTGAGCGTTGACCAATGAGTCTCATTTTAGATTGTTTCACATTTTTGTTGTTTATAATTTTAAAATCTGTTGAATGCGGGAATGTAACCTCTTAAAATAATGGAGATTCACGAAACGTTCAAAAAGAGAATAGTATATAGTATATTATAAAATCAATTTCTTTTTAAGTAACCACAAAATTCTACTTTCTACTATCTGCAAACCAAATAAATCGCAATTTTGTTAAAACGATGATAAGAAACGAAAAATAATGTTTATTACATTTAGCCACAATGCTTCTTTACTTCTTTAGTGGAACCAACTTTATCTCAAGTGGTTTGTAAATTTCGCAAAACCCATATCTCGTTTTAACCGCAAATACATTTGAATACACAAGCAAAAATTCTTTACATGCTTGACTAAATTTTTACTGATTACCCCTGAACAGCAGCAGGCAAGTTTGTTCGAGGAGGCCTTGATTCAGTCATTGTTTTTGCATACGCTGACATTAATTATGACAA